CGTCGTATTAGTTAGTGTGGCAGACCCAATAAATTTAATATAATTATCATATTTGTTAGCGTGAAAACAGTTCTATCAGGGATTTAAATAATTAATGACAAAAAAAATTCAGTGTCATTTGACAGTTCTAGAGACCTCACTCTACATTAGCGCCTCTCGCGGCGAATTCAAGCGCGTAGCCCTCATACTGATACGTACAGAAATCATAGTTCGGATATTTGCACTCATACTTTAAATACTAATTAATTTAAAAAAAGTATATATTCTACAAAATGAATGTCGAGAATACCATTGAGTGACAAATTCAATAAACACAAAATATGTATGTAGAAATGACCATATTATAAAATTTTAAAACATTTTATACATAAAAATACATCATTTTGACAAACTTCTATAATCATCGTAGGTATATTATTCACAACCATTTACGGATAGATATATATATAAGAATACTAGCGTACTTACTGCGCGTGATTAAGTTGACAACTTTACTTGCATTACACAGTGAACACACTATTAAACTTATTTTTTTAAAATAAGCGCTTAAATTTAATTATTATATGTAGATCAATTAACAAATTTAAAATTTTAACTTGCAATTTGATACTAATGAGTAAACACCTAAAAACACAAACATACCGAATAAATTTAAAGTTATCAACTTGTTCACAGAAGTACGAATTTAAAGTATAGTTTCTTCAAAGTATAAACAAAAATTAGATGAATCACGAGGGTTCAAAATTATCTTTTCAAAGGTCGATAAATTGGTCATTTTTTTAATTAGCAACATTTGCTGTGTCAATTTCAAAGTTGCCGTAGAGGCACGACTACCGTTTATTAAAGCTATAAGCAATCATATAATATATTAATCGGGCTTAAAAATTAATAATAATTATTATTTTAAAAAAAGAATTTCAGATAATTTCATTTTGAAAGTTTTTATTTAAGGAACCCTTAAAATGAGACAGATAGCATGTAAATATTTTATGTTTGCATTGTGACTTAACTCATTTATTCAATTATATTGACATTTTTTTCATACAATAATTTCATTTTAAATATTAAAGCACAACAAAGGCGATGCTTATTTCATCCACTTAGCACTTTCCATTCATTCTTCTTAATCACAGCTTTACATTTTTCCTTCACAATTTTAATAGTCACATTTATTAAAATTATAAATGTTAATTATAAATAATGAGCACAAAGTGTCTTTGTAAAAATAACGAATATTTAAAAATAACAAGAATTCGGAATATAATCATGTAACTTTAGAAAGAAACTTTTGATGGTTTTTGGTAGGTACTCGATTTTTTTTAATATAATCGTTAATTATAATATTTATTATTTATATTGACGGTTGGACGAGTGTCACATCTCTACTAATATAATATTATAAAGAGGTAAAGTTTGTGAGGTTGTAGGGGGTAATCTCTGGATCTACTGAAACGATTAAGATGAAATTTGGTAAGATAGCTTGAGATCCTGAGAAGGACATAAGATAGTTTCACCGGTGGTACGACTACGTTACCGGTGGTAGGACTCTGTCAAGCCTAAGGAGTCCGACTGGATGGGTAGCACTACCTTATCTATATCTCCCGCCAAGCAACAATGTTTGCATTGCTGTGTTCCGGTTTGAAGGATAAGGTAGCCAGCGCATTACACATTTTTGGATCATAAAACAGACAGGTACCGCTTTTCATCAGGTGGGCTGTCTGCTCGTTTGTCACTGAATACTAAAAAAAAAGTTTTTATCCTAAATATCCTTTAAGAGGGTGGAAATGGGGATGAAAGTTTGTATCCCCATACAAACACGTCCGTCCGTACGTACGTACGTATGGCCTTACATTGATTCCCCAATCATCGTAGGAATGAACCCGAGCGAAGCGAGGATGAGTCCCTAGTATTCCATAAAGTTACATGATTATGCCGGTAATAATGTTTAACAATCAGTCTTAAATGAAGTAATGTACACTTTTGTTATCGAAGAAATAAACTACTTTCTAAAAGTCACTTTTAGTTATTAATTATTACAAAGGTTATATTCTCCATATCTTTTAGTTTCACTTTAGGATATTTAACTAACAAATAAATAAATTAATAACTAAAACAAAATCGTCATAAGACGTTCATTTGAAAACTTAGTATATTTATACAGGCAAAAATTTGCTTTCTTTGCATTAAAATAAGTTAGAGAAAATCCTATAGGTAACCTATTTACAATACTAATTAGTCAAATATCCTTTATTTTTTTAAATTACACAAACCAATCTACCTATTAAATTAGTAACAATAAGTAATGAAACTAAGTACATTCAAAAAATCACAATCACAAATCAAATAACAATAAATAAAAACATATAAGATGCAAAAATATTTAAAAGATCGAATATCAACACGAGGACGGACGCAAACACACCATTGTACATAATAAATTAAACATATTTTAAATTATGGTGTCGCCTGTTTTATTATTATTTTCAATTATTTAATTGAAATAAAGAATAGCATATGGCGTATGTATGAATACGCACTTAATAAGTGCTTTACAATAGTCCATCACATTGTGTATAAGCTACCCTCTCAAAAACATAAAAATATTAAGATTGTGATCTCAGTCCTTCAACATTTTACCAGATTTTCAACAAGACAGTTATAATTAAAAAAAAGTCCAATTCATACCTATTTTATAGGTGATCAAATAAAATGTAATTTTGTTATACAGAGCCGGATTTCGGGGAAAGACACTAATGTTACTGCCCCGGGCCCCCTACTTGAGAGGTGAGTCCAATAGAAAGCTAATTAAAAAAGTCAGTATAAATAACTTCTTATAAAATAACATTGGTTTATTTATAAGGGCCTCGACGCCTTAATAGAACCAGGGCCTCCATACTTTAAAATCCAGTCCTGGTGTTTTTATTTAATGAGACATCGCCGTCATAGAAACACGCCCGAAGACGAGTCTATGTACGTCCATTACTCCAAATATCACATTATACCCGTTAAGCACCGTATACTATGTCCAGTTATTAAATTTTATAAAATTAAAAATTTATTTAAATCCCCTCGTTAATTTCCAATTCCCTTGTATCGTAGCACCTCTACTTTTTAAAGTCATCCAGAGAAATGTAATGTAAATCCTGCCTCTAGGTTTAGTTCTTTATTTGTGTAAGTTAAAAACTTCAAACTTCATCAACGTTCAAAACTTTGCGAATTTTTAAATTGTTCCTAATTAACAAATATTTTTAAATCCAGACCATTTTAAATATTAAATAGATAAATATAACTTATAAACATTAATCCATCCAATCATATACCATATACCTAATTTGTAAAAATTAATAGAACAATACAAGACATTACAATGTCTTCAACGTTCACTTTATAGAAAAGTCACATTATATTAAATCACATGTTAAAGTCTAAGACCCCGATCTGTGTAGTTGACCCCTCGATCTATGGTAGTGGAAATTAAAAATAGCATAGAGCAAATTTTTGGCCACAATTCCTCTGGGTCGTTTTTGTTAATATATTTTATTTAGATTTTAAGACAAGAAATCAACTTTAAGCCAAACATATATATTTTTTTTAATTTCGAAAACCAAAAGAATGTTAAAACGTCATTTTTTGACATTTTTTTATTCTTAATTTAAAAGTGTCTTTTTCTACAAAGTAGACAATGTAATGACTACATGACATAATATACCTACACAGTGGTATGGTCGTGAAATTACAAAGGCACAAAAATAATATTTTGATATGGGTTTTTAAATATCCATATTTTATATTCATACGTCACAAAAATCTATGATTAAATAGATAATTTAGTATGATTATCATTACTACAAAAAGAATTTGCACAGAACATTTAACACTTATGTAGCACATATTGATAAAATAAAGAAGCCGAATACAGAAGTAGGTACTTTTACTCGTATATAAGATGAATAGAAAAACATTTTAATGTTTTTATACAAATTCCAACCTTAAAGCATTCAACACAAGTCTTAATTTTCGAAGTTTTTTATAGTACTTACATATATATAACAACTTAAGGTTGCATTGAAGTAATTTATTAGCAATGTTGCCACATCCAATCAAAGTGAATGTTAGCCCTAACCACTAGTTACCATTAGAAAAGGGTAGGTATACGCTTACAAGCATTTTTTTTTTATTTTTTCTCTAAAATATATTATCACATTTACGAGTATATTTACTATCCTATGTGGATATCTTAACAGCAAATGCTATTTTTGTTTTTTTTTCTCTCTTAAATATAAAAAGTCTAATATGAAATGAAACATCGTAAAGCATTTCCGCGTGAAATACACATTAAGTACATATGTATGATTGAAATGGCACGAGGAGAGTGGAAACGATATCAACTATACATTTCCCACATAAAGCGTAAGGGAAGCTCAAAGGAATTTTCTACTTCAATATATTACCCTGTTGTAATAGATATGAAAATCCTTTGACAGTAACAAAGCAGGGGTCGCCTGAACCGAATATTGCACAAAATAGCACGATATCAAATATCTTATATGTTATATAATCCTTTGGATTTACCCTAAACTAGCGATTTTATGTCACTTTGGTAACAATATAATTACATAAAATTGGAATCACAGCAAACTAAACTAAATGAATAAACTAAACAACAAAAACTCCTCCCATTGAGAAATAAACATTCTAACACGAATAAAATAAAGGTGCTGCAGTATACAATTACATTATAACATGTGCCATTATAATGTTAAGGCCTGGAGAAGTGAATTTTGAGACCAAATTTCGCGAGACGGAAACTAATTGGATTTATATCAAGCATAATTCCAACATTGAAGCAAAAAATTCACTTCGTAAGGCTCTAAATTATATAATTAAATATAGATTATCAAATCAACTTTCCATATGACACCAATAAACGACAACGAGACATAAAAATGAGATTTTTTTTACATTTTTTTTATATAGGAACTGCTTATTTAGTCGCATTAGCCTCTACGGTCGCTGGCCTGAGACAGGCTCGAGACGTCATACGTAGCTTCCTGAGTGACGGTCACTTTAGGGGACCTTTCGAACTTGATTTTATCTATTGGCGAGGAGGTTGAGGTGAGAATGACCGAATGACGCAACCCTTGACCATTTTGGGTTGCATTAATGATATTTAAATGGGTTAGGTTATGTTTCGGTATGGTGAAGGATGGGAGGTCTTTGGTTTTTATGGTATCATAGATTCTGACAAGTTTGGAGGCGTCAATGGCGTCTATGGGAGGTGGAGGGGGGCGGGAAGCGGGAGAGGCCGTGACTACGAGATTCGGCATTTTGGGCGCATTTGCGCGGACATCCCCGGGCAGGGTCGCTATGTGTTGCGATATAGAGTGGCTTTTAAGGCCTTGCGCCGTTTTGTAGCTTTTGCCGCATTGGCATTTGTAAGCCTTTTTTACCCTGGAACGTAAAAAATATTATGCTTTACAAACACACAAACGTATCCAAATTATATCTACTTTATTTATTATAAATGATAAATGAATATAAAAACTACATCAAAACTATGGAGCTAAAACAATCAATATTAAGTAGTACAGTACAAACTTGAATCATTAGTTAAATATCTAATTACAATCTCATCTCGAGAAACCATCGGTATAATACACTACTTTAGTATCAAATTACAGAAGAACAAAATTAATCAATACCCATTTCTTCCAAAAATATTCCTGGGCCGTAAGTCGTTTTTTAGGTGCGGACATGATCTTTTCTTTAAAATGATCAAGAGGGGACAAAGCCGGATGTTTTCTATTTGGACATTTTTTAATATCTATACTAATATATTTAAATATAATAATTTCAATTTATTACTCTCATAATTTAAAAAAAGGGCTGCATACATTTTTTTTCAAACGTGCCAAAAGAAGTATAACTTCAATAATAATCCAATAAAAAAAGTAGGTATGGTTATTGGTTATATCTTATTTCTATAACCGTTTTTAGCCCAAATATTAATATATTATATTGGCCTATTAGCCATTTTGTAGGTGAGCTGAGTCACAAGTACTTAATAAAACATGACGTATATATTTTCATTCATTAGCACGCAAATTCCAGTAATATATAGTATACATATATTTATATGGATGTAATTTTCGCCTATATTGATTTGATAATAGCTGAACTTAATAGCAATTTATAAACATTTATCCCACACTTTTTGCATAAAAGGTAATAGTGATACAAGTCAGTAGAGACTTGCTTATCGCATCTATTAGGTACCTAAAAGGTAATCCCTTAAGTTTTAGGTACCTAAAAGGTAATCCCTTAAGTTTAGATATATGACAGTCGTATTATATTTTTAATCATTAGACATTATCCGCGACGCAAAAAGAGGGGTGTTATAAGTTTGACGTCGATATCCGTCTGTGTGTGTCCGTCTGCCTGTGTGTGTGTGTGTGTTTTATTTGAAAGGAGACTTCCTTGCGGTGGTTCTTAGCTTTGTTTGGATTATAACGGTCCAGCAATGTAAGAGTATCAGCTCTTTTCCCAAACTCATGTAAGCCATTTTGGCGTATGATTACTCGATTAAGGGCTTCACGCGTGCCAGTGTAATCGTTAAATGGCAATTAATTTGTGTAGGGGTATTTTAAATTTATAATTATTTTTCATTAGGCATTATTTAATTGTTAAAAAGACAAATATATGTTTTATAATTAAAGTAGATGGGTCTCTTACAAATACCTAATATGCTTATACATAACTCAAAACATTGACGTATTCAGCCACGATTCTTTCTACTAACTGTGACTATTTGTTGATTGAACCTTATTATTAACCCCCGACGCAAAAATGACGGGGTGTTATAAGTTTGACGTGTCTGTGTGTGTGTTTGTCTGTAGTATCGTAGCTCCCGAACGGATGAACCGATTTTGATTGTTTTTTTTTTGTTTGAAAGGTGAATTAGTCCCGACTAAATTAGGAGTAGAACACTCCCGAGTGTTCTTAACTATGTTTGATAAAACTCGGGCCAAGACGGTCAGAGGGTTTTTAAAATTTTTCATTTATCACTTGTTTCTAAAGTTTCTTTTTGCTGATTTTTCCTGAATGTTAAGAAAAATATAGTAATACTCGTTTATATATAAATACAAATACTCACTTGCCGTCCTTCTTGTGTCCATTCTTCGAATGGTACTTGATGCCATTGACATTCTTGTACCGTTTCTTACATCCAGGGACCGGACACGCGAATGGCTTCTCCTGTGCCGCCGCGCCTAACGCGCCTGTTGACGCGTTTGCATTCATTCTGGGGAAAAAAATCATTAAAATTACATGTAAATTGTTAAAAAGAAAGAAAATATATAAGGTGTTTCTATTATCCTATATTAATAGCAGTCCACTAATTCATATAGTAGGCTAACGAAAGGAATAGCTACTCTAGCACTCGGAGCTGTCATACGTAAGTTGGGTTTATAATTTACTAGCGACTCACCCTTACGTTTTAACGGTTAGTAAGAACTACAAATCTTTGAATTTCTCGGCTTTTCTGTACTATAATATTATTGTTTCATTCATATAAACCTTCCTCTTGAATCACTCTATCGATTGATGAAAACTGCATTAAAATTAATCGTTGAGTAGTTAAAAAGATCTAAGCGAACAGACAGCGGAAGCGACTTCATTAAACTATATAAAGATATGTAAGTTGGGAAACGGCTTTATTGTTCACAGGTATTAACTGTAACAATTGCCACCGTTCGCCATGAATCGCTTTCAAATCTTCGAGTATCGATATATTTATAATCAAGATATCGAAAATTTTTATTCGTAATTTTCGTTTTATTTTTCAAAAATATATCTAATACCGTCAAAAAAGTAATATATATATATTTCATTTTTCGATTTTTGAGTATCAATATCTCGGAAACTTAGCGAGATATCGAATAATTTTATTCTTACTTTCGGCATATCTCGTCGAAATCTAAGCGAATCAACCTTCAAATCGTGGTACCGTAGGAACTAGGAACCGTAGACATGCCGTGATATTATTTTTATTGAAAAGTTACAGTTCAAGTTATATGATGGAATTATTTAATCCTTTTACTTTCTTTGTGAAGTAAACAAACAGTTCATATTATGACAACCTATTAAGTACTTTGTAACTAAAAACAAGACATTTATTTACTAGCAGTACTGAATTGTATTTGTATTGTAAACAATACTATGGTACGGTACACACTGCAATACTAATACAACACTTTACATTATAACTTTAGACTATCTCCTAAATTACTGTATTTTTGGAAGCACGCTAGATCAAATTGACTCAACCGATTTTAATGGAATACTCTATAGTCTATATAGTCCAATTAATTGTCTTGTATAAAAAATATTACGAAGGTACATACAAAAGCACGGTGGCAAGATCTAGTATCTATAAAATAAAAACTAAATATTATTTATTACATACTTTACACCGTATCGCAAAATGAACTCGGAACTGTACTCCTCGACGGTAGTCCACGAGTCGTTGCTGTCTTCAGATGGGCTCATAAGTTCATCTTCATCTACTTCACTCCCTGTAATACATACATTTTATATTATTAATCGCTTACAAGCAGATGTTGTACATATCTCGATAATTTTAGTAGTGAAATAAATAGTTAATTAATATTATAATAAATGTATAAATCGAAATGAAAAATAAATATCTCAATCTATTCCAAATATAAAAATTATTTAATTATAAATATAAGTTAAAGCATAATAGATCCCTAAAATATTTATAGCATAAAAACTTCAACGTACATAGTTTTTAAGATCTAATAGCAATAACCTGTAGGTGTACTGCTTCGGACGGAAGGCGTCTTAGGCGCAGAGAGCAGGCGCCGGCGCACGTCGGCCGCTGGAGGCATATTTTGAATCTCCCGCCTTGATGCCTCCGTAAAGAATTTTAATACATAACTAAGAGGGATGCATGCTGGCTGAGAGGCTTCTTTTTGTTCAACGACAGCAGGGTCATAATCTGAAAATTAATATAAAATATAATGCCTAATATTTCTAATAGAGATATTTATCTGTCAAAGTTGCGACTTCCGATTCGGATCAGCTGTTCATTGTTTACAATCATAAATAACATCGTTTTTGGAACAAAGTAAATTTTCTACATCATTTAAGTTTATTATTAGCCTTATAAACATAGTAAATGATTTCCCGCAATTAATTTATATTTGTTACTAAAATATACTTCAATGTTGGCAACTTTGATATATTGATAAGACGTATAATGGGAGGGTCATCGTAATTTTGCAAACCCAAAATATCAAATATGGCTACAAAGTATAAAAAATATTTAATAGTTACCGATATGAACGTCTTCGATGTGTTCAATTAGGTCCGCTAGTCGTGGAAATGTTATGCCACAGCCATTGAATTTACAGATGTTTATCATGAAGACGGCCATGTCGAATGGTGGATAATGGACTAGTCAAATGTAGAACTAAGAACCTGCAAATACACACTTTTACACATTTTGTGTAGAGACATATATTTTTTTTTTATTATATTTAAATTAATTGTTAAAATACATAATTAATTATCAATAGGATGAAATACCTTCAAGAAATTGTAAATTATATTATAAAATAATAAGTGTTTAATGCTTATATCATCTGCGCAGCTCGATCAATAGTTGGCTGCTCCGGGCGGAAGCTGCGCACACTGCGCAAAACAACCAATACCGACACGGGATTTATATTCTGTTTCACTTGACCACTCAGAAATTGAACATTCCAAAGGCCGGTCTCCTCCTTTTCGGTGTTCTTTGGTAAGTGTCACAGAAATTGTGAGCTAACTAATCGTGGAAAAGTGTTTAAATCCTAAGCTATTCTCGAATAAAGAGTGCCTATTTCTTTATAGAAAAGCTCACAGTGCGTGTCGGTGCGAATATTTTATAGTGATTTTGTAAGTTGTCATGGAAGATAGTCTTTGAAACAAGAAAGATAAATTGCCGATTCGGCCATTTTCCGCTGCCTCCCTGTTATTATTATATGAGAATATACTCAATTTTTACCTAGCTTACAGTGAATAGTGATATCGTTTTCGGTATTAACGTAAAATCGTAGAAATTCATCGGACTCTTATCATAGACTTCGTTACGTAGCCGTAATAAATTACGTAACGTTCTGCGGTCAAACTGTCAAGTCTTCTGAAGTTATAATATACTATAAATATTCACTTCAACTTAAAGCTAGCTGACACCTAATAGGTTAACGTTCATTTCAGTTGTCGATCGCCGCACCTAACTAAACACAAAAATGCTGTTTGCTGCTAGAATGATCGCCCCTGCAGCCAGGTCTGCTGTAAGTACACCGATTTTAAAGCTCTATTTAATTTATGAGGAAATTAGTTTTGAATTAGTTAATATTTTGTGCCGTTTATTTTATACAGATAGATTTTGAACTGTAAGTTCAAAATTGGATTTTATCTCTGAACTGCTTTTTATTACAGTCTGAATTGTATATAGTTTTACAATAGGTTTCTTAATTCTTTATAACCTAATATTTAATCGCTTTAAACAAACTGTTTCATGGGAGACAAAAGTTATATAACTATCAGGTGATAATTACAATGTGAGAAACTTTTCTATCTTAATACAGTTAACTATCTAATATTGGGGTTTTGTAAAGAAATATCAGTTAACGAATAAACAGAAAAATATCCTTTTATGTAACATTACCAATTTTGTATTCGAACTTTTCACTAATTTGTAAGTAAACTATTTTACAATTAAGGCTATATTTAATGCACTGTAGGATTGTTTTCATCAAATTCTGTGCAACAATTACCAAGATACATTGATGAAACTTGAAAAAGTATGCAATTTATTGATTGAAATATTTAATATTGCAGATCTTCAGCAACACAGCTGCCCTGAGGCCGCTAGCAGGAGCCATCACCTCCCACGCCCAGGTGGTGCCTGCTGCCCCCGCCCAGTTATCTGCAGTGCGCTCTTTCCAGACCACCTCAGTCACTAAGGACATTGACTCCGCTGCCAAATTCATCGGAGCTGGTGCTGCCACAGTAGGAGTTGCTGGCTCTGGTAAGTCTTATATTACTGTGTGTCCGTGTAACTACTCAATTAACTTATAAAAAAAGTTTTTTCCTGTAACACAGTACATGCTTGCACATTGCAATTTTCTCCCATATATTTATCATAAAATTAAGACCATTTAAGTATTCCCTTTTTGTATTGTATGAAATAGAAATATTAATATTTTTACAATTGTTTTTGGATGAGTTATTTTACATACTAATATAACAATAAAAAGAATCACAAATTTTCTTAGCATACAGATTTTTATGTAACCTAGTTGCATAACACATAAGATGGTGGATTATTGATTTTTTGCTATTGAATCGTAATGACTTAAAATAACCCTTTTCCTAAGTAACTGCCTATCAGTTCTGATTTCCTTTTGAGGAATTACTTTTTTTTTATTTTTAATCTATACATTAGTAACTAAATTATATCAAATAAAATTAAATAAATATCTACTTGTATCATATTAGCCTAACATTATCTCCTTCAGGTATTGGCATTGGTGTGGTGTTTGGATGCTTGATCATTGGCTATGCACGCAATCCCTCCCTTAAACAGCAAATATTCTCATATGCTATTCTCGGGTTTGCTCTTTCGGAAGCTATGGGACTTTTTTGTTTGATGATCGCCTTTCTAATGCTATTTGCTTTTTAGAAGTATAGATTTTTAAGATGTTTTTGTACAGTGTATATAAACCTGTGGATGTTGCCTGACAATTGTGTTGCATGTGTACATTTTAACAAATATTTGCATGTGACCTCAGGTGAGTTTTGCTTTATTTTTATGAATTGTGTAGTGTATATACCCTGTGTCGATACCCGAAATCACGCTCTTAAAAGTTTAAACATCGAATCTGTAACTTGTGGTGCCACATATCGATTTATGACACACAACGTCAAAGTTGTCATATAACAAAAGTATGGTTACCTGTTATATAAGTGTCTCCATTTAAAAAAAAGCTTATTTTTTTTTCAATTTACTTTACAACGTGCTTAGATCTTTACATTACATACTGATTTAATCTAATATAACAGTAATCATAGAATGTTTTAAATTATTAAATAATGCATTAATTTAGGATTATTTTTTTAATTATCTAATCTTCTGATATATAATATGATGTAATGTGATAGAGCAGTCAATTCTAACATTATATTGATAATTTCCAGGTGCTGGTATTGGAACAGTTTTCGGCTCCCTCATCATCGGTTATGCCAGGAATCCCTCCCTCAAGCAGCAACTGTTCTCATACGCCATCTTGGGCTTTGCCCTCTCCGAGGCCATGGGACTCTTCTGTCTTATGATGTCCTTCTTGCTGCTATTCGCTTTCTAAGCTACTTACTTTTAAGAACACTACTGCCATCCCGCGAGGTTTCAGTGTATACTATCTGGAGTGGACGGCCATGGAATCGAATGTGTGAAACCTCACCCTCATAGTGGTGCGAGGACTTGTGTTAAGTGTTACACTTATCAGTGCATCAAAAGCAATTTATTTAATTATGTAGTATAAAAAAAAATCTGCAAATAAAATGTTGTACGTAAACACTGGATTATTCCTATTCCTGATACTGATTGATTATATTATTGTGTAGACTGTTGTTCATCGTTGCATAGTTCACAGTATAATCACGTAAGAGCCGGTGATGATTGTTTAAGCCAGTTATTGCACTTTGCGTGTGTATTGTCATCGACTTTCAACTTGTTATGCTGTTTGGGTCATATGTCAGCATCTGTATTGTATATTTTTAGGGCGATTAAACGATACAAACCAATTTAATGAGCGTTTTTTCACAACTCACCTACTAATAAAATTTTATTTTTAATACAAACTGCAATGTTGCATAACTCATAATTTACTTATTATTTAAAATAGCTAAATTGAAATGAACTTTTGGGTTAAGCTGCTTTGGGCTTTTGAATAAATTTTCAAGAAGCTGGAAATTCTATATTTTCAACTTAAGTACCATTTCAAGTCTTACTGTTAGTATTTTTAAATTGGATTATTTGGCAACTGCTGTATTCTTAAAATAATTATTTTGTCATTACCATAATTGAACACCAAAGGCTTCAGAGTTAACAAATTTTCCACCTAATGACCACTTATTCTTCAAGCCGTGCTTACACCTCTACGTGACATTGCCGAAGTAATCTGTGTTCAAATAGCATGCTTTAAAGGCATTAACAAAAGAATTGGTGATTTAAATTGTACACTTCGCACGAATGTTCCTATTTGAATCTTCTTTTGTTTTGAATTGATTGAGAATTTTGAATTCGTGAAACCACGACAATAATTGCTTGTACAAAACAAAATAATCTTCAGATGAAATCTATATTGAGAAATAAAAAGAATGATTTTCCTTTACCTACAGCATTTATTCCATCCATGTAAACAGCGCAAAAATTAGTACACAATGGAGAAGTTGATTTTTTTTTATGTATTATATATTTTTTAGTAAAATATAACAAAAATATTAAAGAATTCTTAAAATATCTCGACCAATAAAAAAGTTATGAAACTCGCTCTTGTAAGAATAATTTCGAGACATCACACGACCTGAACGACCGTAATTTTAATTAATTTTTCAGTCATTGATCGATTTCAATTTTTTTTACTGATTTATTACTTTTGATCTATATTATCATTCCATTGCGTTAAATGTTATGATATTAACAACATGATAAAACTTCTCTAGTACTGAATACAGTTTGTGAAATTCTAAAACTTAAAAATGAGGTTAGTCAGTTCTGCGCATGCGCGTCGAGTATTTATAGATTCTGTACAGTTCACGAGGAAATAGACACGATATATTATGCTGGGAGGAAAACTTCTTATCTATGAAGTGACTGCGATATATTTACATTAAAATATTCTTTTTTTAATGAACCACAAACAAGAAGCATTAAGTGCTATATTAAACGAATTTAAATCAAAGAAACGCCAAAAAGCCATGAGGACAATTTTATTTCATTAATACGGGGGAGGTGGGTTTTAATAGGAAGTACTGGCCTTTATAGCCGGCGAGTTCCACAACCGTCAACCATCTGTATGTATACAGGTAGTATGCGTAAATGCATTTCCCAACGTTAAAAAAGGTCAATTTTATCCCTCGGTAAAATAGTTCTACACTTGTCAGTAGATGGCGCTGAAAAGAAAACATCGCTCGCGAGTACAAATTACTTTAATAAAGAATATGAACCTAAAATTATTAAGTATGTAGTTATATGAAGGAAGACTCACATTATAAAGTACCTACTAAAACTAAACCGCCCTTAGTTATAAATGAAATTGGGTGGTAATATCCTTTATCGTTATCAAAAATATATTTCGCGCATGTTTTATACAAAATGTGATGAAACACATTTCATTATCTATCGGATATATCTATGTTCGAAGCCGGGTCGAGTCACTAGAAGTTATGAAAAAGTGAATGACTAAAAGTCAACAGACAAATGAATTTCGCTAATTTTTATGTAAAGGAATTTGTTAAAAGTATAGAAATTCAGAAATGCTATTTTTTTGGAAAACCGTTCGTTTTACGAACATAAATACAACAAACCAGCAAGTAATCACGCCAATTTCACATACAAAATTCTCAAATTTTAACGAAAGAACTTTTTTAAATTACTTCAAACCCACGCCGCTTCCGATGTTTTGCTTTTTTGTTTCGGTAAGTTACCAATTCTTAAGTATGAGAAAAATCAGCAACACTAATAAACCGAATAATTATTTGAAAGTAAAAAAAAATGGGATTAAAAAATTATTTACAATAAAAAAAGGAAATTAAATCGCAATATTATATCAACAAATTTATTGAAAATATTTTACTGGATAGTACCTAAGCGAATACTCCCGCGTGTTGCAGTACGATAACTCTGGCGGAGGTATTCACTCAAATGCTTTTACAAAAAACTTCTAACTTACCTAAACAGGTCCAGGCATTCTTAATGCGTAGAATTTTACATAATTTCGAGATAATATACCAAAGTGAATACAAGCTAGCGGAAGAATGCATTCAATTTGGGCTACGTTTGAAGCCTGCGGCCATTCGATGCTTTTTAGTAATGGCGGTGGACTATTCCGCAATTCCATAAACGCTTAATAAAATCGTACATAAAAAAGAAAATATTGACAGAGGCAAGTTATAACTATATATTATATATACCAATACTAAAAACGCATCGAAACTGCGCAGACTTAATATATAATAAAATAAACCATTGAATTGTGAGGGTAATACAAAACCCAGTCACACGCCACGCACGCGCCATACACAGATTTTGTATAAACATGTAAATATATTTAAATCTCGTAATAGACATTCGCATGATTTGGTGTTCCAGGGTATCACTTACTGCCATAGGCGTAGCTAGTGGGCGGAGGCCGCGCAAACACAAATAACATGTAAAATACTAAAATTACTTTAATCAAAACCAATAATTTAATAAATTTACTATAATATTATGGAGACATTTAAGCAAGCTCGGATCTAGGAGGAGGGTCATGGGAGGTTATGTAGCCCTCAAAAACAAATATTTAAGAAGTTTGATTATTTCTGACTTAACATTGCAAGTGCAATGTGAATAGAATATTTTTTTTTGGTAATAATTAACTTTGAAGAAAAAAAAATCAGACGAAGAAGGCTCCTCCTCCTTCCTCCTTCAAAATTTAACTGTAGATCCGAGCCTGACATTAATGGTATCAATTCTGTTTCGATATAGTAATATTTAAATCGATTCACTTCAATAACAGTGGAACAATATATTTACTAGTCTCAGCGCCTCGTGAGTGATCCTAGCTACGTCCATGCTTACTACTACTTGTACATAATTTTTTTTTATTTCACTTTCTTCGCTAGTGGCGTAGAATAGATACCGTACTGGTACGTTGCAGAACTTAAACCAATTTAACTATTTATACTGTATTCGCCGAATGAACCAAGCACTGAAATTTTACCGCTTTCACGTGATTAGTTGCAGATAAGACGCTTAGGCCGCGATTACAATGCAAGTCATAATTAGTCCGTCGTTGCATTCCGTACCGGTCAGACGTCTCTCGTGTAGTTACCCGATTTATTGTCAATGTAGGAATGACAGTGATACGTCGGAAAGTGAAAATTAATAAATAATGTATACAAATATTTAAAAATACAGTTAATTTTACATTAATGTTGATTTTATTTTATTATAAATTGTTAATAATTCCTCACTAAAGCATTAACAACATGAACGAGCCGTATGATTTGATACCAGTTGCAAATGTTAGGCGGAACTAGACAGTTTTCTGTCTTCATCATCATCATCATGTTTGTATGCTAATGTGGGACAGAGAAAGCGCTTTGCATGGTTCACTCCGTGAATAGAGTATAGTTTGTCTCTATTGCGTAATTCAAAGTATACAGACGATAAGGCAATTACAACTTTTACTATTACTTAAAGTAGTACTTTACAATGTGCTGTTAGTTCTGAAAACGACCGCCAGTGATATTTAATCATCGCCAATAGACGGTCAATTAGAATGTGACATTACAAAATAACTCATTAACATAACATATGTTAAAAAATTGAAAGACTTTTCGACCAAAAAGCGTTGAACATGACATAAAATAGAACAGTATGGAGAAAATATAATTAAAAAATGTCAGTATCATTCTTAATTGACCATTTGTAATCGAATCGGATATATTTGAACAGAACAATCACCACCACATCTCCGATAGTTCGTCTTATGGTATCAAAATATATCTTACACATAATTTACACGCAAATACTCATCAACATTATAATACTAACAATAACAAAATGTAAGGCAGACGTAGATTTTCCGTACAACTGTGAAACGTCGATATAAGTCATACACAACACTAAAAATAATAAACTATTATTCATATTTGTTATTAAATGTTACAATATTTAGTAATATATTTTATTTATGCTGTTTAAATATTATATTCACAAACGTTGCACAAATATTGGGTAATTTATTATATATTTATATTGCTATTTTAAATCGCATTTACGCGAAGAATTTTTCAATTGAACATAAAATATCGAAAGGGTGGTAAGGTACCACATAATTTTAAAAGACAATTAATTTTAAAATTTAAACATTTATTAAATAAAAAATAAAATTGAAAAATAAAATAATTTTAAAATTAAAACCATTTAAATTTCAATTTTAAATGGTACCTTTTTAAATTATTGTATCTCAAGGCAAAAAAAAAAAATATCCATGTAAATGTGGTTTTACTATAAATAAATATCCTTGTAAATGTGGTTTTACTAACGTGGTATATAACTGATCGACGCGTAGACACTACATGTGCTGGAGCGTTGTAAAAGAGCAGGGATGATCCATATTCTTAAGTTATGAAATAAAATTTTCAATAGCACTATTATATTTCTACTAACTTACTAAACTTGTAAGTAATACTAATTCTAAACATAACTTTTAATGTCTAAGTGTAAGATAAAAGCAAAATAAATAGCAAAGAAACTAATAAGTGATTTTGCTAAGAGAACATAAGGGAATAGCCAGTAGTTACGTGAGCTGTTTTTCCTCATAATTTACCTCTCTCTCCGCCTTGGTGAGATTTAGTTAATTTGTTGGGAATCCATCCTCAAATAAAAATAATACAACGTTCAAATACTCTTGAAACAAATGTTTTTTATAATAGCCGTGAGGTTTTTATTCAGTGGGAAAAATGGGCCAATCTCAAGGAAATGTAAGAAAAATTTAATATTTCTTATTATATATTCTGTTAAATTTAAGTAAAATCTTCAGTTTTAATGAGATTTTACGAAACCCCTCTCCCATTTTGAGCTCACATAATTAATGTATGTCCCCTATTATATATCCCAAGTCAATTATGTGTAATTAAAGTTGTTAAAATAATAATACTCGGACCATCCCCCACTCGTCTACACGATGGATTCAACAAATTAGCGCTATATAAATGTGGAAGCTGTCAAACAATGTAAACATACAATAATTTCACTTAACCTACAGCAAAACAAATAAGGCATTTTTCTACATTCTTCAAATTAACCGCTCTCATCTCAGTCGTTCGAGTCCATAGAAACTCAATTGTAAAGTTAAGTCACTTTTTAATGTTATGTCACGAAATCAAATTTTATTGCATTCTTCACGAACAAAAATAATTGTTATACATCATATAATTGTAGTTTTTATTATATATTTTTATTTGTTATAATTTACTTTAATTGTTACAATATATTAAGAGTGGTATGTATATCTATTATATACATTGCTGTAAAAATATTTAAGGTAAAGTCAAAATGTTGACGGAAACAGTCAGGCAATATTCAAAATAATACTTTGCAGTTATTATAATACATAGTAAAAATAATAGTACAATATTTTAACAAAAAAGAAAATAACTGCTTTTATTTACATTAGCAAATGTTTTAAATGGTCATTTCTCTTTTAGAATCAAAAAATAATATGTCACGTATATTACCTAAATATATATTTATACACGAATATGGATTTAAAACGAAATTCGACTTAGCCTTACAATATTTTTGTCACCCGATGTGTGAGATCAGCATGTTACATTTTGGTCCGAAACTAGTTTCTATGAATTCGAATGCTTACAATATTTTTGGCTCAACCTATCAAAGGAAACTACACATCACCGATTTATATTAAAGTACCCTCTTTTATATCTAATTGATATTTATTTCTTTGTATAAATATAACTATCTTAATTATATCGCTTCTGTCTCGAACTGAGCTCCCTTTGAAATAGTGATGGGTCCGTATGTTTCATGCTGTTCCAGTTTTAGCATTTGATGCTTCTTGAGAACTAGTAGACTGTAGAACTTTTGCGCCACCTGCGAGGTAATGCAAATAATAGATTTAAAATATGGTAGTACATATATGTCACTCCATGAAAAGTCCAAATTTGTATATATATATATACATACATATTTTTAAATGAAATTATCCCGTTTTAATTTAAAACATTATTACCTATGGTTATCTGTGCTATTCCATATTGTTTAAAATTTGTTTTTCCTTAGTATATTAGACCTAACCATACATTTACTATCCCATCCCTCTTTACCTCGAAAATAATCGGAACATACATAGTCTACGGCATTTGCCTGAATAAGTATACTATAAAATAAAGGCATAGTATAAAAATCCATATAGTAGGTGAATTCATCAAATCATTGATTTAATGCAAATTGTAATTGTACTCGTTAACCTTGAAGCCATCTGTAATATAACAGTATGTATAACGTTCGGGTGCGCCTCACTTACATGTTCCCGGTGGCCTGTGCGGTTAGTCTGTCTAGTCGCCTACAGATACAGTAATAATAAAATGTCCACCAGACCGATTTCGGCCATGCCAACCAATTTCACTGAGACTAACCAGATGCGCAGAAGATATTATAGTGCACAAATTTACGCCAGACACAAGTGCACTCTATTCCTTTTATTATCAAAGTCCGATGGAACTATACTTCGATACTCGCGGTTTACGTGTTTTCCGAGGCACGGCGGCCAGCAGGGTCCAACACCGCTAACTTCCCAACTCCGGGCTACTATTGAGAATATTTTAACAGAAACACTTAGTAACTAAATTTGGTTCGACCCGGGACTCGAACCCAGGCCCTTCGGATATGCAGTCGTACATGCTAGCCACTAGACCACTGAGGCAGTTAATAACAAACCGAAATAATAATGGTTCACGCTTATTCTTACAAAAAGGTTAGATTTTGATACTGAAATGAACGGGGTTAATCCAATCATAAATAAGAAATGTACATATATCCTTCTACGCAATTAACCCTTAGCATAGATTCGCCTCATTTTAACCGGTTTATTTTGATCACGGAACGGTGGTGTGGGTGGTGGGTGCGCACCTGCTTCCTGTTATTGTGCGTGGGCGCGATCTCGATGAAGGCGAGCGCGCGGCCGGCGGCCAGCTTGGCGCGCATGGCGGCGAACAGCTGCGCGGCGCGCCGGTTCAGCACGCGCTCCTCGTACTGCTCCTCCGTCTCGCCCGCCTCGCGCGTCTCGCTAGGCGCCTCCTCCGGCTGCGGATACGAGTGTATATAATTTTAATAAACAAAAAAAATACTTCTTCTCTACATAGTATAAAACAAAGTCGCTTCCCACTGTCTGTCTGTACCTATGTATGCTTAGATCTTCCTAACTACGCAACGGTTTTTGATGCGGTTGTTTTCAATAGATAGAGTTATTCAAGAGGAAAGTTTATTTGTATAATACATACATGTTATAGTACAGAAAAGCCAAGAAATCCAAAGATTTATATTTCATACTAACCATGAAAACATACCTAGGGACGAACCCGAGCGAAGAGAGGGTGAGTTGTTAGTTTTTTAACAAAAAACACCAACTTTAGATCAATCTTAGGTGTGAATATTTTGCTACGAAATTTTTATAAGACTATCATAATTGCTTTATAACCTATACAGTAAAAAATGCAAAACGTTTCACAATAAATGGAATATTTTCTTTAAAACTCGCAATTGTAATAATGTTAGATTTGTCAAAATGAATAAAATGAACCGAAACGGAATTTAAATTTTACTGTACAGAACTCCTCTATCCGCTTCCTGACTCCAAAGTCAGACCAGTACCAAATTATTGTATTGTTTTTTTATTAACTTGCAAAGATTGAAATCAATATAACAATGTTGTTAGAAGAAGAGCTACTTCTAGTATATTAAAATCACAAATGCTCAATTTTAAACTATTATTTTAACAGTAATAACGATTAAAATAGCAAACACGACCATCTATACTAATATTATAAAAAGGTAAAGTGAGTTTGTGACATTGTAGGGGGTAATCTCTGGATCTACTGAACTGATTTAGATGAAATTTAGTAAGAATTTTCTTACTTTGCAACCCTGGGAAGGACATAGGATAATTTTATCCCGGATATCATCCCTTAAGGGGGTGAAAATGGCAATGAATGTTTCTATGGGGAATCAAACTATTAAAAAGCTAAAAGTAAAAAATATGATTACTTACATTTTCAACACTGAGGGGCAAATCATAATCGTGCTGCGGACTGTGGTGCCCGTGCTGATCATCGTACCCAAAGTTCGTCATTTGTACACCATTCTGAAAAAAAATATATTTTGAAACCTGTTCAAAGTTGCTTAGGGGCCATTCATTAATTACGTAAGGATGATTTTGACGATTTTTGATCCCCCTACCCCCATGGATACATAAGATTTCTCGAACCCCCCTCCCTTTTCTTACGTAAGATTGCATCTCGTTTTTCTGAAAAGTAAAACTGTTAGAAAAGGATCAGTTACACTAAAACTAACATATTAAAAATAATATAAGAACTAACCTGATAATCCCCATGATCGAGCGGCATCGGCAAGGGGTCCATGGGGCCAGTGTTGAGGTCGTGCGTGTGCGGGTGCGGATGCGAGTGCGCCTGCGCGTGCAGCAGCGGGTGCTCGCCGCCCATCTGCGGCATCATCGGCAACTCCATGCTGTGCTGCAGCAGCGCGCCGTGCTGCAGACCTGCACCAAGTGTTGAACATTGTTAAAGTGCAATAAACCTCATGAATATTTCATACTAACTATATTTCATACTAAACAGAGTGCTATTATAAGTCTAAGGTACATAGTTTCCCGGTACACCTAGTAGTTACCGTCGTAGAACGATAATCGTCGTTATATAGCCTCTATTTTCTTCTCACTCATAATATATCACCGTCTACCTATACCCGCCGGTATAGACAACAAAAAAAATTATTACATTGATTTTTTTTATGTCATAAATCAAATGACCCGCCATTTTGAATTCCATTGTTTATTGGTACTAGTCTATACAGATAAATAAAATTGAAATTATACAATAAATAAAATTAAAAATTCTGTTTATAATTACAAAATAACAGCGTTTTACTAAATGCATATGAAGTTATATACAGTACTTATAATAAAAACACAATTTTTACAATGTTTGTCTGTCTGTATGTCTATCTGTTTGTTCCAGATAATCTTTGAAACGGCTGTACTGATTTTAAATGGACTTTCACTTGAAGATAGCTGATGTTATAGGGAGTAACATAGGCTACTTTTATTTTACAAAAAAAATTAAAACGTACCTAGGGACGAACCCGAGCGAAGCGAGGGTGAGTCGCTAGTTATATATAAAAATAAATGGATGTAGTACTAACCAGAAGGCGTCATGCCGCCATGCTGCAGGCCGGCGGGCGTCATGCCGCCGTGCTGCAGGCCACCGGGCGTGAGGCCGCCGTGCGCCAGCCCCGCCGGCGTCATGCCGCCGTGCGCGAGGCCCGCTGGCGTCATGCCGCCGTGATCAAGACCACCTGTTGTTTAAAGTACATTATTAATAACAAAGTAATAATTATGATCTTTAATGTCGTTGAAAAAATTTACAATTCATTAGGTTATTAAAACACCATGTAATATGTGCTCAACTGGCACGCTTTCGAACAAGAAAATTAAACAATATACTTTATTAAAGGAAAAATCATGAGGAAATGTGGATATCTGCGAAAACCTATGTTTTCGAAAGAAATGTGAAGTCTTCTAGTCGGCACTTAACCTGCGTAATAGATTATGATCTCCCTTGCCTTAAAAGGCAGCCCTTGCTCACCAGCGGGACGTTAAAATGGACTGAATACAAAAAAAATTTTATCAAGCATAATTTACCCGGTGTCATCGTGCCATGATGAAGACCAGCCGGCGTCATACCGCCTTCTAGACCCAAGCCCGGCGTCATACCACCAGGAGTCATACCTCCCGGGGTCATGCCTCCCGGCGTCATACCACCTGGTGTCATACCTCCGGGCGTCATACCGCCTGGCGTCATTCCCCCTGGTGTCATGCCACCAGGCGTCATTCCTGTTGAACAGACAATTTGCAAGTTAATACGATCATTATTTAAAAAAAGTATTTGTATCAAAAAATATTAATAAATATATAATATGTAACTGTATAATTTATAACTAGAATTAATAAAATACATACCTCCGTGTAAGACACCACCAAGACCCAATTCGGGTTGATCACCATGCTGCAGGCCCCCAGGAGTGAGACCACCTGTGCAAAAATAACAAATTTTTACCTTTATCACATGTATTTAACAAAATTAAATTATTTTTTTATAAAAAAAAATGAAAACCTCAAAACAAAATTTATTGTGTAATCAAAAATTATTTCAAATATCCGAATCGAATGTGCATATTACAAGACTTTTGCGATAAATAATAGCATTCCCAAAGAGGGTTGATGTCAGGCAGGCGGCCGGTCGTAAAACTTTTGCCAAATCCTATCAGCAGTACAGAAAACATTTTCTGCGCCGACCCCAAGTGATTGGGACATAGGCAGGGAGAAGAAGAAGATATGTATATAACAAAATTATTAATAAACATGTTTATATTTGGACCCAGTTATGCAAAAAAAAGCCATGTGCGTAAAAGTACCAACAGAGTTATAAGCATCTTTCTGTCGATAGTTGCATGGGTCATGTTTTGTTTTTCTGGTTATTTTAAAATTGCACAATATTTATATAAGTATTGTTAATTTTTTTATAATTATTTTATTTTTATAATAAAATTCTTATAACTCTGTTGGTACTTTTACGCACATGGCTGTTTTTGCATAACTGGGTCCAATTATTTGAATATTTAGCAAACTTTTTTTTTCAATAAAAACTTAATTTTAAATTACCTGGTGTCATAGAACCATGTTGTAAGCTTCCAGGAGTTAGCCCACCTTGTAATAAAGTGCCAGGCGTTAGGGGGCCCAATACACCGGGAGTGAGAGGGGGCCCCAGTGAGCTTAGCATACCTGTAACACATAGTTAAAATACTTGAGAATGTTATACATATTAAGTATCTTACATTCTTTAATGTTTCAATATTTGTAACTAGCGAACTTAGCTTCGCTCGGCGTCGTCTCTAGGTTGATTCCCCATACAAACTTTCATCGCCATTTTCACCCCCTTAAAGGATGATTTCCGGGATCTATCTACTAACTATCCTATGTCCTTCCCAGTATCTTAAACTATCTTCTTACCAAATTTCATCTAAATCGGTCTAGTAGTTTCGGAGCTCATTCGGACAAAAATAAAACAAAATAATCTTTCCTCTTTATAATATTAGTATAGAAAAAGTCTATTTTGTATGAACGAGTTATTAAATATTAGGTAATATTTTTCAATTATACACACATTTGGAGTTTGGATTACTTGTTATGTCACTGAAATATTATACTAAAATACTGTCGTTATTAAATAGAATTATAAAATTAACTTCTAAGACAAATACATAACACAAGTACACCAAAAGTATGTAACCCATTACCAGAAATGAGACTATCTATAGAAAAATAAGCAATTGTTATGTGTTAAAGCTATGTTTAAAATCAACAAATTAGTCATATAACGTTTTAGTTGGTACAATAAACATGTATAAAAAAATATGTGTATCGGTCAAAAATTGAACATTTTTGATGCACATAATATTATACTTGTGAAGTTTATGTACGTAGTAACTGTCTGTGTGCAATAAGTAGTGTTGACGAAAAATCGATTTTCACTTCTGGAAAGCATCCACTTCGGTTAATTCTAGATTTATTTCGGTACTATCGATATTCAATACTATTGCAATCGTTTTTACGTCTACAATAGTTTGAATGTGTGCGTGCGTGGTGTATGTGTATGTGCGTGTATGTATATAAAGCATTCCACTCCAAATCGGTGTTTCCAAAAAAAATATTTTTGATATTCTTAATATTTTGGTATTTTTAGTAACCCTCAAAAGGGGCTTTCTGGTAAATTTGGAGATTTTTGATCACTGGTTTAATTAAATATTTAGAAAATGTAAAATATTTTTTTTGAAACCGTCCGATTCGGCGTGGAATGCCCCATATGTATTAGCGTGCGTGCGTATATGTATGTGCGCACGTATGTGTGTGTATATGTGTGTGCGTGTGTGTGTGTACGTCATATGCGTGCGTGTGTGTGTGTGTGTAGTTACCTGGCGTGGTGGGCGGTTCCACGTCGCAGTCGTGTCGCGGCGAGTGGTAGGGCGTGGGCTCGCGCTCCGGCTCTGCACGACCCGCAGTGTGGCGTTAGTTAGTGAGGCGCAGGGGAAAGAGCTTATGATATATTGTGATGGTATAATCAAACATTCAGTCCGTTAATATTTACCTTTTTTAGAGACAATAAGACGAATTTTTCAATGATTTTATATATTGTAATTAAACTGAGTTTCTTTCCAGATTGAGATATGCAAATATTGGAACCAAGGCATATTTCATAAGCTCTTTCACCCCTTATATTATACACAAGTTAATAAGCAAAGATGATGATTTTTAAGTTTATAAGAACCAAATGTAGTTAGATTTCAATGCACCATTACATTAAAAAAACCAGTATCTTTTATACATTATCAACATTTACAATAACTTAATTATTGCCACGCAACGACTCATATTATTAGAAGATTGCACATTAAATGAAAGCAGTGAAGTATGTTATACTTTGTAATTATATGACATGATATAGTGAGATTTTAGTGAGGATGGTAAGAAAATAAACAAAAAATATACATTGACGGTGTGATCTTACCGACTGAAGGCTCATATTCTTGTGGGACGGGTGTTGGAGGTTCTAATTCAGGCTGAGGCGCGGGTGTCTCTGGAGGGTGTATAGTCTAAAAAAAATTTTTTTACATAAAATTAAAGAATATCATGTGATTATTTGCTACATTGCTAATAAAACATCTTCAAACGTCTATTCCACCTATATATCGCGATAAACAGAAATACTCTCTAATCGATTCTTACACTCAAAGACAGGAAGTTTAAAAATAATACAAATGCCTTGTTAACTTTAATTTTAAGCCTCTAGTACGTCTGTCTATTAATATTTTGTGTATATGAAATACATGCGCTAGCGAATGCTCGCAACGAATACTCATCAGTCTCATGACAGTCTGCCCACCACCAGGCTGGTGATAGATACCTCACGGACTTACATACTGATATTTACTTCAAAAGTTTAATGACGTCAACGACAATTTGACGATTCAAAAGTGCTTGTAAAAATTAAAACGTATTGTAATAAATAATAAATAAAAATATTGGGACATCAACACACCACATCATCTAGTTCCATGGTAAGCTACGAGGCTTGTATTATGGATACCAGATAAATGATAGACTACACATATATAACTTTAAATACATATATATTATAAATATAAACACCCTTGACTGAAGTACAAACATTCGTGCTCATCACACAAATGAATGCCCCCAGCGTGATTGGAACCCGCGACCGCTGGCACAGCAAGTACACACAGGGTCACTACAAACTTAGCCAAACGTGTCGTGAAATAAATGTTTAACAATAAGTAACAATAATAACCTCCTCGTGTCGACGCTTGCGGCCGGCGCGCCGCGCCGCGGGCGGCTCGGGGTCGGGCGAGCGCGCCTCTCCCTCCTCCGCCTCCGTGCGCAGCGTCATGTTGCGCTGGTACTTCTGTTGAACATATGATAAACAAGCGGCTCAAAAACAAATCTATCCCGCGGGAACCGTGTATTTTTCCGGGATAAATAGTAGCCCATAGCTGGATTTATACTAGGAGCAATCAGGGCTAGTGCCCAGGGCGGCAAAATTCGGAGGGTGGGAAAAAAATTCTCTTTGCGTACTTGAAAACGCTCACTTTATTTTCCAAAAAAAACGAGTACATTTTTCGAAAAACTGAAATCATTTATAAATACTTTTTTGCATTTTCAAAAAAAAAGTAACAATGAAAAAAAAATAACTTTACCCATTTTATGTAAAATTTTGATATAAGGGCGGCATTTTTTACTATGCCCAGGAGCGACGCTAAGGTTGGAACCCGGTACTGATAATAGTCTATGTACAGCCTAATGTGTTATTCCAGACTATAATCTATCTCTGTGCCAAATTTCATCCTGATCCGTTCAGCCGTTCTAGCGTGAAAGAGTAACTAACATCCATAGTGTGAGTATGTCACAAACTTTCATATTTATATTTATACAGATTATTTATTTAATGTCTTTGTTGGTTTAGTGACCAAAATGTAGGATTGCAGATCTTAGAGATCGTGGGTTTAAATCCCGTATCGGGCCGAATATAGTTATTGAATCTTTCCGTTAAGAACGTCTCAGTAACAACCTAGAGTTGGAAAATTGGCGGTGTTTCACTTCCTGCCTCGAAGAGTCGTGCCTTTACACACTCTACGGTCATAAATTCTCCGTCTGATCTCTCGAATTGGGGTCGAATTGATTAAAATAAAAGCATACCGTGTATACTATACTATGTAGTATGTGCATTGGTGCAGGGGCGGACTGTGAATTAAGAGGGCCCTGGGCTAACACTTCTTGGGGGTTTAAAAATGACAGTCGGTTTAATTGATAAGAATTAAACTAATTGTCATTTTGCTTTTTTATAATCTATATTTAGATATTTTTTATTTGATAAATTCACAATATTATCCATTGTTTTCAACAGGGGCCCATTTGTTTTAGGGGCCGGGGACGCAGCCCAAAAAGCCTTTATACAGATCTGCTCCTGCATTGATGCAAATGTTGGGATAAAGTAGTAACCTTAAACAAGACCCGTGAAGGTATAGGCCTGGCTGGCAGTGTGAAGAGTTTCTCCACACCACCAGTTTCCTTCCAGTGCATGAGACGACGAGTGGGAGGCGCCAGATCGAGAGTCGTCACTATGTCCGAAGTGTTGCTCAGTTGGTTCTTCATCTCTTCACCTGATATGTTCTTCACTTCGTCCACTATAAGCTTGCGTTTGCGTTTCGCTTTCGTTATACCTGGGAATAAGATTTATCTATATAAATAAAAATGAATCATAATGTATGTACGCGCATAACTTCCGATCGACTGGACAAAATTGGATAATATTTTTTTTGTGTTTGTTATTGTTAGGACTAGCTTTGTATAGAAGAAAATTAAAAGAAACTTTTTTTACTAAAATTACTGTTAGACATTTTAATAAATATTATTGAACGTGGAAAAAAGTAGTCATTGAGATGCTTCATTGGAATGCGCTTAGAGAACGATATATAAAGCAATAAAATTTATATCAAAAAGACCCCTAGGAAACTCGGGCAAGGCAAAATAAGTCACTCACTATTGGATAATAAAAAAAAAATTCATTAATATTTCGTATTTACAGAAATTACCATCACAAATATGTATATTACTGCAATAACAAAAACAAACATAATATTTATATACATATATCTATCTCACCTTTGAGAACAGTCGCGTCAACAGGTGCTAAGGCGAAAGATTCTTCATCGTTTTGCAACAAAGTAGTGTTATCTATCGCCGGTGCTGGAGTGGCGGGGGTCTCCGCGCGAGGCGGCTCTTCGATCACGGGATCGTCTACTTCCTATTAAAATTAAAAAATATGAAATTTTATTAATATATTCAATTCAATATACTATCGACTCACCCTAGCTGTCCCTATGTGATTCTTCAAATTGACATAACTTTTTTTTTTTTAGGATTGAAATAAAGCAAATACTAAATGTTAAGTGAAGCTTACCGAAACACATCACTGAAAACCGCACTCAAATCAGACAACTGAAATCCGCACAAAAATTCTAAAAATCATTGTTTTGGGTTCTATTGCGTTAATAAAGACCCCTAATAATAGATTTTCTCAAATATCTACAATGCTACATAGACGGTCGGCAGTTGTAATGTTCCTCTAGCTTTAAATTGTAAGCTTAAAGAGAATGAATACATTAGAGTTCAAACAAATACTTTACATAAAATATGAAATGATATTAATATTTAATTCTTCTTATTCCAATAATCTTGTTCTAAAAATTTTTATACTAAATACTCCCATAATAGTGTAAATTTTTAAAAGTAACAAGAGCAGAGAAAGTTGGATGGACATACACACAGGTAGTGTTAAACTAAAAAAAAGTTGATGAACTGATGAATGAAATGAACATTATATTATGAACGGTATGTGCAGATTTAACTTTTAAAATTTTCGTTACGGGCCGGAGTTAGTTTAAGTACCGTTGTATAATTATTATATAGGTACTAGCACATTTTAATACTAGGTACATTTTCATTTTTTTGAGCGAAATCCTAATTCTTTTACTGAAATAAAAGTAGCCTAGTTACTCCTTATAATATCAACTACCTGCCAGTGTAAGTCCCGTCAAAATCGGTCCAATCAGACAGATAATTTTTTTAAACAATAGTTTTTCTTATAAATACCGTATATAATTCCATATGCATTTAGTAAAAAGATGTTATTTTGACGTTACATACAGACACTTCAATTTTATTTATCTGTATATATGTATAGATGTGCAGAGATAACGACTTCTAATTCTAAGAGGGAGATAAAAGAAGAACAAGAAGAGAAGATCAAATAGGATGGTAGAGTTGACTGACCATGGGGCGCACGGAGGGCGGGCGCGGCGCGGCGGGCGGCGGCATGAGGCCCGCGTCGTCGCGCGACTCGCTCTCGTGCGGCGGAGACGCCCCCCAGCTGTAATACACACTTGAATTACAATTTAGTCACTTCCCAATACAAACTCATCCCCATTTTTAAGAGATGATTACGGGATAAAAAGTATCCTATGTCTTTCTAAGAGCCTCAAACTATCTTCTTACATTAATTTCATCTAAATCGGTTCAGCTATTTATTTAACTGTAGTGTTAATACCTTGATGACTTAACGACTGTAAAATGTTAAAAATATGTCTTCTTAGTGATTGAGGAATGAATAGTCTTGGAGTCGTTGTACTGACATCACAGTACACGAAATGGCGACTTCCGGAAATTTCGTTCCTTTTGAGTTTGAGTGATGATTTTTCTCTGGTATGGAAATATAAAAAAAGAAAAGTACAAAGTGTGTCGGGCGGTACCTGTGCGCGGGCGAGGGCGCGCCGGGCGGCGACGCGGGCGAGGGCGGCGCGTCGTAGTGCGGCAGCTCGTCGTCCGAGTCCGCGTCCGCACCTGCCTCCGCCGCGCTGCCGCCCGCCGCCTCGATCTCCGCCTGACACACACAACCACACACGTTATTATTAGTTTGTATCTCTTCGGATTTCATGATATCAATGGAGACTGGTCCTTTGAAAAGCTTATACAGGTCCAAGTTATTTATACATATAATAAAATTCTGAGTCGAATCTGAATATCTTACTGAAATAGTCATTATTCGATACAGAGGCCAAATCTACAGTTTTTAGAATGTATGTCTGTTTGTCTGGGAACGCATCATGAGAAAACCACTATATATATTTTTTTGAAATTTTGTACGATGATAATTGTTTATCCGGATCAACATATAGGATATGCTTTACTCTCTCTGAGAAATCTATACTAAACGTTAAAGGTAACTAGGGACGAAATAACCTATGTAAAAGGTTACAAAAAGCAAGTGAAAAACGCAGAAAGGTGCATAAACTCACACATTGACAATATCCATTTACAACAAAATTAATATTTAATTTAATAGTAATATTATCTTATTTTTTTAGTTTAGTAATTTTTATCTGTTTTTTGGCTGTAGCTTTTATTATGGTTTGTTGGTCCTCTTGAATTTTGAACATGCTAATGCTGCATTGGAGATTTCAGATTAATTCCAAAAACAAATCTTTTTGGATTTTCCCAGATTTGTTTGTTTTTATTTCCCAATGTTTCAAAAGCTTCACAATAAGATCTAACACCACACTAAATTTCTTAGAAGCAGAACAATTTTAAATAAACAATAATCCTAATTAAAATCTAAAAGATAATGTATGAAAAATTTAAAGTATATAAACAAAAACACACCTGTAAGGACTGTGGTTGAGCAGAAGTCCCAGGCATTCCAGTGCCAGCCCCACCGGTCGAACTTCCAGCCGTCACATCACCAAACAGATCGCCCTCAAATAGACCTCCCGCATCTATTGATTAAATAAATTATGCAACATCTCAATTTTATTTAGAACCTTTGATTAATTTGAATGTGTGCAATAAACTCACTTTTACATCTCAACTAAAGTTTACGGGACATTCAAAATTGATTTCTTCATTTGATTTACAGAACACTTTTTACAATAATAACTTTTAAAATGTTATACAAATAGTTATGATACCTACAACATAGCCATGTTTCAAGTGGACAAATGTAACTTTGTGCAATTGACTACTCAGTATGTTACAAATAATGTATGTTGCAGCTCCCCGAGATTTTAATTAAATTTTAGAGAAGTTAAATATTTTTCAAATTTAAGAGGCTCATTGACAGTTAACATTACCACATAACATACAGTTTATTTGTTGTGTAAAACAGATCTCAAACTAGAAAAATACTATTAAACTCTGAAAACTTGTTCAGATAAGATAATTAATAAACTAACAATCTTATTTACATAAATAGTAGTACTGAATTAAATACTTACGTCCAAAATCCCCCACATCTCCAATAGTGCCTCCAAATCCATCATCCATAGGTCCATGTGGTGCAGCCTCCATGCGAGGTTCATGTAAGGGGGCAGTTAGAGTAGGCACTCCCGCTGCACTTGTACTTGCTACACCTGCATCTTTTGCTATTTCTAATGATGATCCATCCGCAAATAGCAAATTACTCTAAAACATAGGCTTAAGTTAAGGAAAGATTTTTAAGACAAATGACAGTTAGTATAAAGTGCGTATCTATGAATTAAAATATAAATGACAATGACAATCCATTGTTAAAACTGTTAAAATTTTGCTTAAATGAACTTTAAGTCACTCACTCACATAATTTACTTACTGTATAATATATTTCTAGAAGTCTATGTATGTATGTTTATATATGTGTATATTTACATAATAATTGATGCTCGTAGTTTGTACCTACACCTCATTACTATTTTTTCTCACACTCAAGGGTGTCTGGTTGAGATCTCTTAAAGATCATCAGGTCATCCTTAGTACACATGGTATTTTTTGTTCATGGTTTTATATGTTTTTCTATTATAAATGTATTTTTTTGTGGTATATAAATAAGTAAATAAATAAAAATTACTTCTTTAAAACAATTAATGTTAAAATGCAAATAAAAAATTAGAATAATAAAAAAATACAAGTATTAAATAATATACCTGCTCTAGTCCACCTTCATTCCCAATAGCCTCTCTCATTATGTCTGGATTATCAGTATCAAAACCCATATCACCAAATCCATCATCGTGTGTAACCAAATTCAACGAGCCATAGTCTTCACGCATTGTTATTTCTTCAGCTCTAGACTGGTTGAGGGAGAACTGTGCTTCAATATCTACTTCACTGTTAAAAATATAAAATTTGTATAAAACATATTATATACTATTTAAATATATTTTATTAATACTTACAAGGTACAATGCAATACAATGCAATAATATATGCAATATGAATAACTATATTTCACAAAAGAACATTATTTATTTAATAAAAAAAACAAAACAAAAAATTGTTTATATAACTTTAACCGTAAAATATTAGATAAAAAATAAACAATATACTTTAGAAGATGATTTTCATTGTTTTTAGTAATTGTTTAATTAATTAATTAATTAGTATTTACTATTTCCTATCAAATCAAGGAAGTTCAACTTAAAAGTTTAGTATTCATAGATTTCAGTTATTATATTATTTCATGATACCTATACATAATGTTTGCACATTAGAGGGCCTATATATAATTTACTTACTTCAACTCTGGCATAGCACTATCAAAGTCATGAAAAACTTCAGGTAATGTAATTGCATTTAAAGCAGCCTCTCTATGTTCTTCTGGCAGATCCACCATACCAGGTCTAAATGCCAACTAAAATAAATGGAAAACTATATAAGAATAAATTTGTGACACCTGTATTCTAAAGAAATATAAGGAAAATATATGTTAGGAATGGTACTTCAATAAATTCTTATTTGAAAATCCTATGTTGATCAGATTTTTATACAAGCATATTTTTTACCCTACATATTGAAACAATAACTTACCTTTATTTTAACAAATGCTTCATTGCAATCTTGAAGGAGATATTTGGCCTTTCTAGAGTAGATTCTTACTACACCCAACAACAGATGACCAGACGTCCGTAAAGCCATCTTAACTTTTGGCTTTAAAATACCATCTACAGATTTCTCAATATTTGTCTCGAACACATGCGCTTTTGTCAACTTTTTGTCCCAATGAGCTGCTAGCCAAATTTTAGCCAAAGGGCCTTTTTTGGCCAGCACAAAGTGTGCGTAAAACATCGTGTCAAATCACTTAGTTTGATCAGTCACATCAAATTTGTTCTGAAAGTAAAAATAAAGAAGAACATAAGCATCACAAAGGCAAATTTGTGCAATATTACCACGAACAAAACACTGTAACGACATTAATCCATTTGGCGCCTATTCTACTTTTCCCTAATTTAAAACGGAAACAACTTTAAAAATAACATGATTTGAATTATTGTGGTTGTGCGTATAATAAATAATATTATAATAATAGTATGAAACTTAATGCACACCTTATTAAATTAGAAATTAAAAAACTTCAACTTCTCTATCCACATACAACGTAAACATGACAACAATTACGCTTTCAAGATGGCGCCGTGCAGTTCATGATAAACGGTTCGTTCAGAAACTATGATAACTTAAAAAAAAGAAAATTAAATAATGTAAACTCTTTTTTTACGGCATTTTAACTATAATTGTACAATAAAAAATAAATATAATACGGAATTGTTTAGATGCTATATAAGACTATTTTTTTATTATTCTTTCTTAATTTTGTAGAGTATCTATTAATTATGGACAATGTTATTTTTAAAATTTTATGAGTAATTATTTTTGTAAAACTGTATGACAAAATATTGTATTAGTAAAATTTTGATTTTAAAACTGATTTTGAAAAATTATTTATAATCTTCTAAGTTTAAATTAACTGCATCAAAACACGCGGTAGCATGCCCAGCCAAGTTTAATAAATATTATAAATGTGAAAGTTTGTGAGTATGTATGGATGTTTGTTTCTCGTTCACGCCAGAACGGCAGAACGGATCTGGATGAAATTTGGTACAGAGATAAATTATAATCTGGAATAACATATAGACTACTTTTTATTCCGGAAAAATATACGATTCTCGAGGGATAGATTTATTTTTGTTCTTCTGAGCTAGTATTTCCACAAAGCTAAATTCCAATATTTTATTTTATAAGCCCCACCTACAAATTGAAACTGAAAATAAACTTTTAGCTATCAAGAGTAGCTGCTACTAAATTTGACATGGTTTCGAATTAATGTTTATTAATAAGTAGCTTTGAATTTCAAACTTACTTTACATGGCGTATGGTATATTATATCCCACATTTTACGCTAACGACGCTTTTTTTAATAATCAATACATTATCATATACGTCTTTTAGAGCATCTAAAGCTTTTAACGTTTGATAAATCATAACTTTTGTCATCACAGATGCATAAGAACACCAAGAATCCAAACATATATATTGTCACTTAGCCTGAACTTATAAAATATATTTTGAACGCTTTCATTTCAGCACCATCACAGATTTGCGTTCGCCATTTTCACTCACTGTGACTTGCGCAGATATTGCGCAGTATTAAACAGTAGCCATAAGGGTTGAAGAGAAAGCAGATAAATTGATTTTAAACAAAAAAAGACGTTTTCTTTAGTAATTGCTATTTAACCTTTTGTTAAAATTGCTGATAATTTTATATTTTCGTAGAGTTACGAAAGTTTCAAGACCAAAATAAAGAAACCAAAAAAGAGACTATATTATAAAATTTACGTCTGGTCATAATGTCTACATAAAATTAAATTCACTTATATTTAACTTAACTCTTGATATTTTCTGGTAACAATATATAGCTATATTATAGTTCACTAATTTTGTAACTGTGTACAAAAACAAACAATGCGATTTGGTCAAAATCGGTGGAGCCCATTGGATGCGCATGGCACAAGACCGGTTGTCGTGGAAATCTTTGGGGGAAAGTCTATGTCCAACGGTGTACGTGCTTGGGCTAAGACAATGACGGAACGATGATGAAAAAATCATACCGACTGAGAGCTTCAAAAGCGTTCATCACGTTAGCCGATAGAGTTATATGAAAAGAATGTATTACAAAATTATTCGTACCTAGGACTAGAACGCACCCAAGCGAAGCAGTGGTACAGTACGGCCAGTAGGTACATAATAATATATTTTTATCAATTATATAACACATGTATGATAAGTTTCCTTCGATCAACAATACTACTTATTGATCGAAGTAATTATCATACATACATACATACCTATAACACGAGTGTTTTTATCTTGTTTAAATAAACGCAAATTTAAACAGTATGCTGGAACTTTTTTAGATTTTTATTTATAAAAAATGACATCCTGAATTTTGTTTGTGTACAATAATAATATATGTGCATCACCCCTGGTGTATAATATCATCAAGAACTAAAATACAAAAAGCGCTAATAGGCTAAGTATAAAAATGTTTTTTGAAATAAATATGCTGGCGATAATTAAATCAACACGTAAATTATCATATTGTTTTCAAATCTTGGACATATTTTAACCTTTTTTTTTAACGTTGGGAAATGCAATTACGCACGAGGTGTGGGACTCACCGGCGAAGCCAGTACTACCCACTAAAACCCAACAAAACCTTCCCCCGTCTTAATGGGGCGTCGCAGGATCGCTTACGCATTAAACTACGACGCCCCGACGGCAGGTCTGCCCAAGCAGACCACAACAACCACGGGGTTGCTCCAAGGTCCACTCTGCTATCAGAGAAGTACTATACATCGTATAGTACATACGTAAGTGCTATATATAAGCAACCCGCATGGTACACCGCCCTCCGAAGAGGGCCGCTTCCCACCGCCCACCGAAGCAGGCCACATCCCTGTGCGTTTCTTGGCTTTGCGCCTGGCTGAATTGCCGGGCACTACTGAGCCCCCCCACCACGACAAGGTGAACGCACGTTTGGACATATTTTAACCTGCAGTGTACACAATATTGATTTTAACCCTCAGTAACCCTCTCTGTTCTTCGATTTAAGATCATAGCCATGCGCAAGTCATACTCTGTCGCCTAAGTAATCTTTTTAAATATACAAAGATTAATCATTCACGTTGAACGTTTATATATCAAACATATAAATCTGTCATATGAAAATAACGCTAAAATCTATAAAAATAGATAAGTAGAACATTTTTCGACAGATATTTAGTTTCATGCAATTTACTCTTTCGTTTCATGATAAATCCCCTACGAGGCTGTCAATTAAATAAAATAAGGATTTATTTACTTTACTTTATATTAATTAAGTAAAAACTATTGAAAAATGCAAACACCGGCACTGTCCATATAAACATATGACTACAGAAATCAACCCGCAACTTTTGACATAGTGGGTAACTAGTATGGATTAATAGATTCGTAATGGTTATGTAAAAATAAATTAATTTAATGTTTTTTTAATGTATAATCGTGTTTCACTTACCTTGCTCAAATTTTCAGACTTCTTCATTCTACGTAACATAATAAAATATTTTTCGTCTTAATAATGCCGAAACAAGCCATAAATAATAACTTAATGGAATTGAATTGAAATTCATTTATACTTCTATTTTCGACTATTTTTTTTCTTATATATCTTAAAAAACCATTGTACTCTCTTCGCGCCAAGAGTGTATCTTCCAAGCGGTCGGAGCTCATCGGTCATCGCAGAAAAAGGCTAATTTTATTGAACGCTATAATGTTGCCTAGTTTGATCAAAAAATAACATAACACAAACATATTTAAAGATATCTAATACTAAGGGAGGCATCGTAAAATTTATACGTATACATTAATAAGTAAAACTATAATTGATAAAATTTAATAGGAAACTAAATTAAGTAAAACAAACCATTTTATTTTTGTATTTAAATTATATGAAATATTTTCTTCACAGCTTATATTTATTATAAGTAACTTACAAATATTAAATGAATGTTTGTCATATCAATTACATGAGCTTAATTTGCTTAATTTCACCTATTATTATAAGGACATTTTTTATTTACAAAGTACTCACTTACTATTTTTTTAAATATTTTTTATGTGGCTACATTGCCAGTGTGATATACAATATTTGCCCACAGGCTTGCAGCTTGGCAAATTTCAGTTCTCTTTTCCGGTTTATCTGTGGAGTACGCGAGACGTATGTGAATATTTAATCTTATAATATCAGTGAAATCTTACACGTTTTCATGTTCAATAAGTTTTAATATAAATTTAATACGTTTTTGTGTGCTGGAAAAAAGAATATTTTTAGTCATTACTCATTATTTTTCTTTAAAATTGCAGACTTCACATACAACATGTTTGTGAAGGGTCATAGATTGCCCTTATTGTGGCCAGACCGATGATGTGACTTCTGATCAATATGTATTGATTTTGTTGCTAGGTCTGCCACAGGCTTCCCAAGATGGGCGCTTACAGATATATTCAAGAGTTGTATCGTAAAAAGCTTAGCGATGTTATGCGCTTCCTTTTGCGTGTCAGAGTCTGGCAGTACCGCCAGTTGACTCGTATGCATCGCGCTCCAAGGCCCACTAGGCCAGACAAAGCTAGGAGACTAGGATACCGTGCCAAGCAAGGTAAGTGATTGCGTTTTTATTTTTTAAAATAAATCTTGGAAATACTGTGCCGGGTTTGATTTAATCATAACCTCAAATTATTCGTACGTGATTTCATTGTTTCTTGGTCCACGTGATATATCAAGTGGCTAATTCATTTCTAAATGTTGCCTTAACCATCACATTGTTTTATGATTATTTTGGTATTTGCAGGATATGTTATCTTCAGAATTCGTGTTCGCCGTGGTGGCCGCAAACGCCCAGTACCAAAAGGTGCAACCTACGGAAAGCCCAAAAGCCACGGAGTTAACCAACTTAAACCTACACGCAACTTGCAGTCTATTGCAGAGGTAATTATGCCCTTATTTATTATTATTGTTCATGAAGACTTTATATTTAATTCAAGAATTTTACTATATGTATGTGTACTTTATATTAATTATTATTTGTTTTAGGAACGTGTTGGACGTCGCTGTGGGGGTCTGCGTGTGCTCAACTCATACTGGGTTGCACAAGACTCTTCCTACAAATACTATGAAGTCATCTTGGTTGATCCTTCCCACAAGGTAAATAAGTTATGTTAATAAATAGGTAAGTTATATGAACAATACATTTAAAATGATGAACGTTTATGTCATGCACCAATCTGAAAGGTTTTGCTGAATACTCACCTACCACTTGTCTGATAAAGCTAATTCAAACTTACTAAAATTTCTTTAAAGTATGGTATAATCTATAGACTGTCATCTTTTACAGGCCATCCGACGTGATCCCAAGATCAACTGGATAGTAAATGCTGTGCATAAGCACCGTGAAATGCGTGGTCTTACATCAGCCGGCAAGAGTTCACGTGGTCTCGGCAAGGGACACAGATTCTCTCAAACCAAGGGAGGCTCTCGCCGCGCCGCCTGGATAAGACGCAACACCCTACAACTGCGTCGCAAGCGATAATTTCAATTATGCTATTGACTTTTCATTATTGTATTTGTTCTTTGATGGAAAGTCAATGGTGTTCAATAAAAAAAATCTAAAAATCTTGTTTTTTTTTAAATACATAACTATTACTGGTTCATCTATTTTGTTCATAATGAAAAGTGAGTACAATTTTTTTTGTGAACATGCACACCTTTTTTGAACTATGTATTTCATAAATAATGCAAGTAGTAAATAATGGTCTTTTTTTCTAGGTACACTGGTTTCTGGTTTCAGTCAATTATCCCAAATGTGAAAATGGTAATTTTTTTAATAATTTTTACTCTAAATGCCATTTCATTTGATACACTAAACATTATTTGACTTTATATAATGATGACACAATGCTTTATGATATGCGCAACCATGATTACCACGCATCATAACTTCCTTGGATGGCTGATATTTTATTGGAGCATAATTTATTTGGTCAAATTAAAATTCTTTCTAAAACAAAAATTTCTTTTTAATAGAAACCTGGCGATCAATCTATGCAGTTTCTACACTTCTATCAAAAGTGCAGGTAAATATATTTTTAATAAATTCAATATATATTAAATAAGTTTTTTCATTATTATCACAGATGGCTCAATACTATACTAGTCACCTCCTTTACCTAGATACCCCTCCTCATTATAATGTAAATTTAAGTGAATACACATTTTCATACAATACTAGAAATAAGAATACAGAATTACCTAATGAGTAATGACTGTTTTGTCAATCTTCAATAAAAAATTATAGTTTCCCTTTCTGTTTCCATAACATATTATATATACCATTCAAGTAACTTTAAAATCTGACTACATTTTTGGGTGGGATATTTTAACATAATCTATTATCATTTGTTAGGATTAATTTTTCATTGTTCTAATTTATAAAACTAGAAGTTATGTAGATAGCTCACCGTCATCCATACATACAATATGCTCAAAAAGGTGTTCAAAGTTTTTGCTTCACATATTAATATATAAAGATAAAATTAAGAATTGTAGTAACACTTGACTGTCCAAATTTACATATTATATATTCTCATTAATATGTTATTAATGTGAGGAGGAATTTGGAAATATTGAATCTCGTCTAGGTGAGGTTATCGTTACTTATATTTTCGATAAACCTCAATCCGGCGAGAAACAAGTAACTTTCAAAGCATTTTTATCTGACTGATCATGACAAATGTTTATACATTGTGAATATATTGTAAGCTTTTAATTTATTTTACTTTCTCATTACAGGTACATCGTCAGAGGACCGTTTGATTGATTATATTTTATTGTGATTTATTGAATAGAAATTTTATTTTTTCATATATTTTGTTTTATTTCCAAATCATTTTGCACACTGAGAGTTCACAATTTTCACAAAAAATGTCTTACCTAGTTATACGCGATAAGTTATCGAGCAAAGGTCAATTTCAAAATAAATTTATTAGATTTTATCTAAAGAACTGTTAATTGTTAATATTTGGTGTTTCACAATTTACCATTTTATACGGTAAGTTCAGATGAACGCGCAGTTAATCTATATATATAAAAGTAGAGGTCGAATGTTTGAGCATAGAAATAATATTTGCTAAGAACCGAGTCAGGGGGATATAAGAGAAATAGAACAAATCCAGATTTTTTCAATTTTTTTGTATCTCTATCTGTTTATACGGGCTAATCTCCGAAACTGTTCGTCCCATTTTAATTAAATTTTGCATAGGAGTACCTTATATCGCCGGTTAATATTTTAGATACTTTTCATACCAGAAAATTAAGTTTCCGTGGGATAGTAAAAAAACTATAATAACTTATACAACTTAGTTCACAAAAACTACTGATTGCATTTTAATGACTAAAATAATATAGTTCATACATCAAAATAACAAATAGGCTACTTTTTATTCCGGAAAAATGTACGGTTGCAGTGGAATAGGTTTGTTTTTGTTTGTCTTAGAGGTGAGCCGCTACTATGTTCACATCACGTAGCCGTAAGCATAATTATTATAATTGGTCCTTTTAGAAAATGTTTTCAGCATTCATTGTCAGAAATAAATAGTAATTAGATACCTATATTTATTAATTTTAAATGATGTGATGTCTCTTTTTACCACTAGATGTCGTGATTTTGATTTCATATAAATCAACTTCGTTAGTGGGATCGAGTAAAAAAGGATAAGGTTAAAAAATTCACTAGGCACACTATTCAATTTATTTCATACACTTTGCCATTTAACTTTATTCCATAGGACTTGTAGTTTTGCCGGAAATCGAGATAAGCCGTTTTTTACCCTTAAAAACTTACCTTTCCCTTTCTACTTCCTTTTCCTACTACCCTTCCCACTTCCTGACATCAGATCGCCCGTAAATTATTTTTCCTTTTATTATATTCTCTACCTTTTCCAATGGGTTTCATCCTACTATTTTTTTTACATTTTACCATTTTAAAAGGCAGCCCTCGTCTATTTATATGCATCACTAAAATTATTTGTAAATCCACACCAGCGAAAACTTATAACTTTGACAAGATTAAAACAACTTTCCTACTGCAAAACCTTGAAAAATGAAGTACAATTATTTAATATTAGGTATTATATTAATAATAAGGGTAGAATTTTATAACAGCAGTGGTGAACTCTATTAAAAAATAAGAAAGATTGAAACATTTGAGAGATAATTATACAAATTACAAATGTAAACTATTTGTTTCCCCCAACACTTTCCACCATAGAATAATTTTTTTAAGGTCCCAGAATCTCTGAGTAAAAGTGTTCTGTGCTCAGAATAGAATTTTTGCTCAGGTACCTTACCATGTTATCAAATGTCCGAATGAATAAGACAGAAGTTATGGAGGCAATTAAGTTATAACAAACCTTTCTGTGATATAAAATTACCATGGCATTCGCAGTCCTTGACTCTCTCTTTCCAATCCTACTAATATTATAAAAGATTGTGAGTATGGATCGATTGATGTTTGTTACTGAATCACACCAGAACGACTGAATGAATCTGAATGAAATTTAGCACAGCTAGATTGTAGACTGGAATAGCACATAGGTTACTTTTTATCCCGGAAAAATGTACGGTTCCCGTGAGATTATTTGTTTATATCTAGAGACGAATCCAAAGGGAAACGAAGATGAGTCGCTAGTCCCTTATATAGTGTCTAAATACTTACTAAGTAATATTTTTAGACTAGTTACTAGGCGTATAATTATAAGAACTAAATCAGTATTATTTACAACTAAAATCCATCCTCAGCTCTTACACAATATAGATTTAATATAAAATCAACCCAGGGGATTCGGCTAAAATCATTTGTTTTTATAAATGCTAGTTTGTGTGTGTGTGTGTGTTTATTTTTTACTCATTGAAGCTCGACGCGGATTTGGGGATAATTTATACACATAATATGCTAAGACCTGGAGTACCACATCAACTGGGTTAGTAGTGAAATTTGCCAAAAGATGGCGTCGCGTGTAACTATATCTATACATATAATAAAATTGTAAGTAAGTCGAATCTGTCATTAAATATTTTTTGGAAAATCTTATTGAAATAGACATTATTATCGATACAGAGGCCGGATCTATAGTTTTTAGAATTTTTGTCTGTCTGTCGGTCTGTTACCGCATCACGGAAAAACCACTGGAGGGATTTTGATGAAATTTGGTATAATGATAGCTTTTTACTTCATTAACTTTTTACTGCGGGAAAATATATCATTTCTGAGAAAAAATAAAAAATCAGCAATGTAAGAGTATACTAATATGTAAAACCTAAGAATTTGGTTTTTGGTAATCTGAACGTGGGCGGAGCCGCGGGCAATGGTAGTCACCATATAATACTATACTAGTACTTAATACAGGGTGGAACAAATCGATGGGACATGGAAGAAAAATACCTTAAATATTGAAGATATCAAGATTTACTCAAAAACATTTCATTATTTTTAAAAATAATAATAAAAGCCCAATTAAGAACATCCTCCTCTTTAAAGAAGTCGGTTGAAAAGGGCTGAATACCTAAATACTTCGTGGATAATAAAGGATAGCAAAGCCAACATTCGCATTCGTATTCGCGAATATTGGAGATGAATCTTCGCATTCACATCCGCAATGTGAAAAATCGAACATTCGTTCACATCATTACTGGATATAAAAAAATAAAAAAAAATACATGACATTGTTAAGTTTATTTATGATCTTAAAAAAATAAATAACAAAATAAATGTACATAAAAGACAAAAGACGACAAATTTCGAAGCAGTTTAATAGTAACTAAAGTGCGAAACAATCACCTTACTTCTAAATAAATATAAAACTTTAAAACTACTTTATCGCTATTTACATCTGAGACCAATTAATTCTACAAAATTATTTTTTTCCTGTTACATTGTTCTTACAACAATAAGTGTATTGAGTGATACACAATGATGATTAAATATTAAATTGTTTTATTTTGTATTATTATATGTATGTATAGATTATAATAATACGTGCTAAGTCTTTTTGGACATAATTTGGTGATTAAGAAATTACTTTAAAACTTTTTGCAGTAAATTAATAAGTTCCATAGACATTGTACAAATAAATTTTCTAATGTAACCACTATGTAGATTAATCAAAACAGAAATATTACAAGAGTAAAATTTTTTTGGAGGAAAATAATGAGATTAAATGGACGGTTAAATAAAAAAGGATTTGTGCCATTTGAAATAATTCCAGTCAGTACAGGAATAATGCGTATTTTGAAATAATGTATGTTGTATATAATTAAATTTAATTTAACATTTATTATGAAGTATCTAAATATAAATTTATATTGCAACGCTTTACTAAATAAAGGCGAGACTATACAAGATGAGTGATAATTTTAATTGTAAAATTTCCTTTAGACAAAGACCTTTGATTGTTATACCAAAAAATAATAGACATTTAAGCATTTATTACTTTAATATAGTTCTAGTAATTCGAAAAGATTACATAATCACGGTCACATTGAATATGGGGCAAAGGGGTAATTTTACATTATAGAATAAAGCCGAGTATATACTTTATAATCTCGTGTAATTTAGTTGTGAAATATATTAAGGCTGTCACACTAACATATAGTTAATAATATAAGTGATGATTGACCGACAGAAACACTTTAAATCCAATAATTGTAATTGCATCAATATTTGTGTGTAGTTATAATTTATTAATTATTATTTGTAAACCAATATTAATTTATTTTATGTTTCAAACCAGATTTTTTCACTGCTCTTAATATCACTTATTAGTCTTAAAAAATGATAATTAAACATATTCACACACCATTATTCGTCCAATAATCACTTACATCAACAGTACCGTTATACATAAGTACATATAGGCAAAGATTTAAACCGCTAGATGCGTCCTACCGCGTTTAAATATGGTACGTTTTCGTGACTTCTTTATTTACGCGTTACCATGGTAACGCACATGCGTATGAGTACCAAATTACAAATATAGTACATCTCGCTCACTCATGCGAAATTGACTACACAGAATATATATATATATATATATATATATATATATATATATATATATATATATCTTTATCTGTTATAATGCTATTGACGATTTTCTTTTCATTTGAAATAGAAATATTATAATATTGTGTACAATATTATAATATGTACTACAACACACGTAAAATAAGTTCACTTACTTCAATACTTACTTACTTGATTGTATCTTAGTATGAACAAGACAAATTAAGCGATATTAATCCTTCCATATATGTGTATAAGGGTTATATTTGGGATAGTCATCCCAATGTTCAATTAGCGGGTACTGGGTGAGTGGGACGACGCTCGAAGTGGAATGTATCAGACAGGTAAAGACCAAAAATGGCGACGCTGTAGAATACCGTGAGACCGAACAGTGCCACGCTGGCACTCGCCGTGAACATGTTGGAGTACTCGCACCTGGGGTGGAACATCAGAAACCTATTTATATATATAGAAATATGTTGCTCTTGTCCCGTTGTTTTGTATGTTTAAGTAAAATTCTTTAATATGCTGTCTTTTTACTTGGGATTGAAACTAAGGGCTAAGATATATTTGATATGGGTGCAATAAGGAATACGCGTGTCATTTAAATAAAGGTGAAATATATTTTTTTATAATCTTTTATGCTTTTGAATTAAGCGTGATCAATACTTTTAATGTATTTTTTTTTTGATTAAGAAAATAATTATTAAAAAGTGCAAATATAGGTGGAATTTCAAACGCACGCCATTGGTTAGATCGAATATGATGTCAAAGTATGGATATGGCTGCCGTTTAAAGTATCCGTATCGGTATATATTTTTTTATACTAAATTTTTTTTTGGAGTTGGATATTTTTTTTTACAATTATATAACGATGTTAGCTATTGCATGAAAAAAAAACCACGCATATTTCCTATTAAATATTCAAAAATTATTTTATACTGCTATAATTTACCACGATCGCAGAAATTACTAATCGGGGTTATAGTCACTACGCTACATATTATGAATTAAAGTTGAGCTTGTTAAGGTTATTCTCAGTATTTTATCTTGCAGATTATCTAGGAAGGCTATAACTAATAAACACTAGAAATTATCGACTAATATGATATGATATTTATGAATTAAATCGGCCAAAATCGTCTCTTCTAAAGAGTAAATGTAAATTACCAAATAAAAAGATACATTCATTACCCACAAACAAACTAAATACCATAAAAATCGATATCAAGAAATATAATCGAGTGACCGAGAATTCCTGAGACTCACCTAAAGAACCAGACGACGGTGAGCGAGACGGACACCAGCGTCATGAGGATGTTCTCGAGGTCCCACGTGCGCTCCGGCGCCGGCGCCTCCGTCACCACCTCGTGCCCGTCCGACTGCGGCTGTCGGCATAATATCATTGAAGTATTGATGTATTCAGCCCTTTTTTAGGGTTCCGTACCTCAAAATGTAAAAAAGGCACCCTTATAAAATCACTCATCATTGTCCGTCTGTCTGTCTGTCCATGTGTCACCACCGATTTTCTCAAGAACGGGTGGACCCAGCAAGTTCAAATTTATACCAGATACTGAGCTCTATAGTCCCTATTAGGTGTATAAAAATCAAGGTCCTGAGTCAATACGATAAAAAGATATGGGCAAATTTAGATTTTCGCGAAAACTTGTAAGTACGTGCCCGGCAGTGGGACGTTAAAAAAAGAAGTTATGAGGACTGCCAACAGAAGTGAAAACTTAAAACTATAAACAAAAAGCAGTTATTTTTGGACACTCAAATTAATTGTACGATCTTAAATTAAAATTTGTAAATAAAAAACTGTTTACTTTCATCTGGTTTTCACATCTATCGGCACTCGGACTGTTACCGTTAACACGTCACGTGACCATGTCGACGACGACTTACATGAATTTACTCCCCATCCAATCCTGCATATAGAAGTTTTCACTTCAAAAAAGCTTAATGAAAAAAACAGGAAGCATGTCTTTTGTGTATATGTTACCCAACTTAGTGATTCTAATGTTTTTATGAATATATGAGTATGTCTGAAAATGTATAATACATGTGTGGTGACGTCACCTGCGCGGCGGCGGCGGCGGCGGCGGGCGGCGCGCGGCGCGGGTGCACGAGGCAGTGCACGACAGCGCGGTGGTGCAGGCCGCAGGCGCGCAGCGTGGCCGCCTCGTCGCACAGCACGCGCCCGCGGAAGATCAGCCGCACGTGCCGGTCCGCTAGCTCCGCTGAGAAGTGCCGTCTGTGCACACACAACACACTATATATTCATTTACTACAAATGTATATAATAATCTAGCTACTTATTCTTTACTCTTGGCTTCACTCGCATTGTAGATACAGTGTCGTCTATGATACTCAGACTATATTCATTGTCTGTACAGTATATTACGAAGGTAAAACCAAACTTAAAACAGGCCTTGCGTCCCCATCAGCTGCTGTCATACCTCGATAAGCTATCTTTCTCGCACCTATGGCTACGCATAAGACTTTTTTGTAGTACTCATTTGTAAACTTTACTTACGCCTGGGAATGGTTTAAAACCGGTAAGTTCGTCTGGCGATTTGCGAGTATTATTGAAAATTACTCAATAAACACGTGATTAAAATTTCAGATTGCCAAAAGTATATTTTTGGGATTTTTAATAAAGTATTTTTGGAGAAGTCTGGCAATACTTTATAACCGACAAAAGCGTCTGGGGTTCTTTTTTTTTTTGAATTATATGAAAACTAAATTAAAAAGATTAAACAAAAATCAAGTTGCCAAAAATATGTTTTTTGGATATTTTTTTTTTGCAAATGTTATTAATAATAATATTTGCGCAGTATGCGCAGTAACGAAATAACCGCTAACGCTATACCAGACTCGCCGGACAGGATTCATTAATTCACGAAATTATATTTTTTCACAATTTCAACTTGCCAAAAGGACCTTCCCAAAATTCGTCGCCAGCTCTCGGAATATTAGAAATATCTACCGGTGCAATTACACGTCTTTAAACCGGACGTTCTACGAGTAACAAGCACGCCGTCGAGTTACGCTTGTCACGTCATTATACCAAAACAACCTTTACAATTAATGTACATTTTTATTTAATTTATCAGCGCAAAGTATACATCGTCGGCGCATTTCTGAAATGTGCTGTACACACGCCCTTATAAGTCAGCGCAGAATACACGCATCGTCGGCGCGTTTTTAACTTGTGGTGTGCATAGAGCATACGTCCTTCGTTGGTATGGCTACTTTTTGTTCGTTTTGTTACTTGTGATGATAATTTACATAATAATTATAATAAAATTATAAAATAATGACCATCTATTGGTATAAACAATAGATGTGACGATTATCATTTAGACAAAAAATCAATTGACAAGTAATAATTTCCATTCAAATACACATGTCAACTTAACAGTATAGAATCATAAAGAACCTGTCTATATAACCATAAGTAAGAGTCACTCATTGAATTTTATTTCATTCACAGACATCACACAATGTTTTATGCTTATTGCTTACATAAGAGTTACTCATTAAGATAACCCAAAGTTTATCAACAAAATAGTTTATTTAAACTCAGCTATATTTTTTATTTACATTTTTTGTCTCAATTAAGTATTGTCGATCGAAGTTTTTTGCATTATTGATGCATAATCACTTAAGTCTCAGCCTTTTTCAAACAAACAAACCAAAAACCGAACAAAGTTTTCTCACAAAAGAGAAAACCATCAAAAATATCTTAAACAAATTAACAAAAATTAACCCACCTACAAGCTTTTTGCAGTAAGAAAATTAACTTAACTTGTGATAGTTAAAATCTCTATTTACTCTAAAGATAATTCAATTTGAACCTTTTAAAATCCTTCAAAAGCTCATCAAGACTGCCTTCGACTTCTTTCAAAGTGTCATTAATGTATTTCAACTTTATTAGTATTTTCCTGCCATCAGTGTCTTCACTGGATGTGGCGGTCTCTTCTTCCGGAGCATTTTCAGTGGACTCGTTTGTTGTCACTTTATCCTCTTCTTTGTTAGGAGATTTGGTAGTGCTCGGCTTGAGATTAGAGTTTGATTCTGGAATATTTATCAAGTCATTTTAAATATATTAAAAAAAATCATCTATTTTGTTAATAATCCTTGACTATTAAAATTGACAATAACACTTTTTATAAATTTTTTTTTTTGAGTGAAACTTATTTGTACGCATGACAGTAAAATTTCAAGGTCTCGTCACGAAAAATCGTCATTGTTGCCATAGTAACCGATTGCATTAGGTTTCATAGTAAACATTGTTTTTGTCTGAAAAAAATATTCTTTCCACTGCTATATTCAAAGATGTACTATTTTTACATCTTATTTTAAATGTAAGAATCAAGCTAGATAGAAAGAGACAAAATATTATTCTGTCCTCTTGTATGATATTAGTTTGAATCATATTTTTGTCTGAGGTGTCTGAAGTTTCACTTCTACCATGTTTCCATAGAAACTTCTGATTTTTTGTTAAAACTTGTAAAAGTATCACAGCTAGGCATAGTACAAAAGTTTCTGATGTACCTACAATGAACAGAATCCTAAAAATTGTTAAAGCTCACCGCTAGATCTTGTAAAGAAGTCACATCCAGTGGTAACATCTGCCTCCATGGCGCTCACAATACTGTCCATTTCACGTATTTGGTCATTGCTTGCTGGTTCCTCATCTTCAACTATCTCAATTTCCTCATTTGTACTCTCTGTTGTGGGTTGGTTGTTTTGAGGAGCTGATAAGAAAATAATCAATATTTTAATTACATAATACTAAGTATAAATGATAAAAAGTATATATAGACTACAAAGCTTATCATTTTAAATATATTAAAACAGCTATAATTGCAACTAAGTAGTTTGTAACTTTTTACTTACAATCCATCCTTCTATAAAAGTGCAAACGATTATTATCCAACATTGCCATGTCGGCATCCACGATGCTATCCATTTCTTGTAGAGGAATCACTCTATTGTCTCGGTTACTTGTTTGGTCACTATCAGAAGGTGTAGTAATTGGTGCTGGAAATAAAATTGTTTTTTTGTCCACAGAACCCTAATTGATCATATTTTTTAACAGATCCCTAAACTGATTGTGTTCTAGTTAGAATACCTTCTTGTTTGACTTGCATAAATCATAAATGACAAATATTAAAACATACTTATAATATATAATATTTATTGTACCATAAAATATAACCTATTTATTAATGTGATGAATGAATTTCTTTTACTTATTTATTTATAATAGCACTAAAATTAGGCCTTATGTCTCACAATGTTTTATTTAACTCTCGCACAGAACTCAGAACTAGATCACCATTTGGGAGGTGGTGCTCAATACATTGATAAATTAAACATGTTATATTTATGTAATTATTGACATTTATTAGCTTTATCACATATGCAATTATATAAAATATAAAAAGAAGGCAAGCTTAAAGGCTGTTTAAAAATAATTTAAACAAAGCCATTCCAACATATATAAAATTCAAAAAAGTCTATATATAAAAGTCTATATATATAAAGAATAACTTGAGATTGTGCTACACATGAGTACAATCAGTAAGGAAGATATATAACAAAAGTATGTATTTTGTGTGTATGTAAAGCCACCAATTCATGCTTAATTCATAATTACTTAGTCAATTATTATTAACAATACATAAAATATTTCATACCCCTCGATACTGATGTGGATGGTATTGGCAAATTAATTTGAGAACTTGTTATATTCGTCCCTGTAAAAAAAAATAGTAAATATCAAATCCAAGTCCCATGATTTTGAATGCTTCTTAGTGTCATTTCTTTTTAACATGCATTAAAATATTTGTGAATATAATATATTGGTAAAATCGCTTTGTCTATTATTTAACTTACTTGTTAATATGCTCACTGTAACAGGGTGTTGAGGCCGGGATCTCATGACCAGCACAGTTCTATATCTATCAGGCCTTGCATTAGTAGACCACCAAGCAAGGGATGCCACTGCTACCACTAGCACAACTACAATAAACTGGATCACTTCATCACCAACTCCTTCTATTAATGACATTTTGTCTAAAAACAATCATTTACATTTAACCATCATTTGATCAATGTTTTTTATAATGATGATTAAATAAGAATTTTCCATAAAAGTAGTTTATAAGAATACCTTCTCTAATATAAGTATAAACCAACCGCCAATACGATAGATTTTATAAAGTGATGAAATATTTTGCATGGAAAATTGTTACAAGTTACACCAAAAACATTTACTTATACTGCATATGTTACGACCAAACATAAGTATTTTGATTATAAATTGTACGTTTATACTTTCAAGGTCATATATATGGCATCGAAAACGCAAATATTTATAAAGCAAGCACTCACCTTTATATTTTTGACGTAAGAAAATACAACAGAACTTTTAAAAAACTATAGGTTCGAAGTTCAGAGAGATATCGAAAGACATTTCGGAATTGCAGAAATCAACAACTTGGGTAGAAAACTATAATTTATTTTACCAACGTATTTGCTACACACAACTATACGAGCACAGTAGGTACTCACTATAAATATCACTAAATTTGTCAAAAATGTATCACTTGCTGTTTAAATGGCTGCTAAATACTTTATATTAGTAATGTCGTGAATTCCAGATAATTATCCTTTGAAATACGTAACGATTCGTATTATTTAGAACTAAGGCCTATGACACATTTTGTCACTAAATTCACTAATGTCATTTTGACTGTTGACATATGACATTCTTATTTCCTTAAAATACATGAATGTAAATGTATTAAAAATTGATATTTTTCAATACAGCCCTAAACTAAACCGAACCGAAACATTTATGAACAAATAAAAAAAAAAGAATTAACTCAATATTATATTTTTAATTTTTTATGTATGTTACATGATATCTTTGCCAACAATTGTGAATCAATTTTCATAATCATAAATCTTTTTTTAAATGAATACGTTAACTCAAAGTGGTTTTATATATTTTTTGTAAAAAACGCCTTAGAAGTAAAATAATAATGGAGAAGATTTCTTGAAACTCTGAACTCTGAGGTTTTGCTTCTATTGTATTCGCATCTTACTTCTGCAATGTATTGTACCTGGATGTTAGACCAGCTGAAGGAAGAATTGAGAAGAAGTTCCTGTGGCGGTCCTGACTGACTGATAAATTAACACACAGCCTAAGCCGCTGGTCGTAGAAACGTGAAATTGGAAGGCGTTTTCCTTATACGATCTAGGCATCCGATAAGGAAGGATTTTTCGAAATTCATTTCCTAAGTGGGTAAAATAGGGGATTAGATTATATTAAACTCTGTCATTCTTTGAAATACACAGAAAATGGTGTTTAGCTTTGAGATAAAAAATAAGAAATGTATATATTTCATTTTTTTCGAAATTCATCCTTTAAAGGGGTAAAAGGAGTATATAAAGTTTATATGGGTAAAGAGTTATTTATGATCAGAATTACTTGAAACTTGATATTAACTATTAATGGGCTTCAGTACAGTTTTAATAAATACATCTTTTAACATTATTCGAAATTCAATTCCGTAAAAGAGTAATATGGGGGATGAAAGTTTGTATGAAACTCTGCAATTAATATGTACAAAAGTACAAAAAAATAAAAAAATATATTCGCCTGTAGACGATTTAAGAGTTTTAAAATCACTTTCTGTAAGCCACATAGCCTTAAATATAAAGATTGTGATTACGCCAATTTTGGTCATCTTATTGCTTTAATCCACAATTTCTTCAGTTTCTTACTTTGGGGAAAAATTATATCCATTTTCTTTGCATCCTGGAACTGCACTATTTGTCATTTTAATTAAATTTTAAATAAAATGAAAAAAATCCATCCACGCTATAGAGGTTTACAATATACTGAGAATCATAGTGATTGCGACATCTAGCAGGAGAAAAGGCAAAATTCTTCCCCATTATGCTGGGTACACACCGACTCAACGAACGCCAACGAATGGGTTTTGTTGGCCCTGTCTGGACGTCTTAGCAAACGCCAACGAGCCTGCGATCCGAAGCGTGGCGGTAACATCAAAGGAATCGAGCCACTGAAGGCTAGCTGAACGTACGAATTGCTTCACGATAATTTGTATCTTTTTTTGATATTTCTGGTTCAATACCATTCAACAACCATTCAAAATCCTGAGACGACATTCTGCTAAAGTTGTCAAATAAACGATATTCTTTTTCTACTTGTAAGTCTGCAATCATTTTACTTCCACCATACACATTTCTATTCATAAAATATGTGTTTGTCCACCATCTCCGCTTTCGTTTAATTTTTTTTGTCCTTGCTAACTCGCTAAGGTATAAAAAACTAGCAATTATAATTATTTCGTCGTCGTCCGTGATCAAATTGCGAATGCGAGCGGGAATCAGGTGCCAATGAACGTTTGCTCGAGATCTAAATGTATTTGGATGTACCTTCGAAGGTCAACGAAGTCAAACCTCCGGTAGCCAACGCTGAATATCCTTCGTTGGCGTTCGTTGGGTCGGTATGTACCCAGCTTTAAATGATTTCGAAGTAGATGTTCCTTTTTAGTTAAAGTGTAATTTGTGCCAAATTATATAATTTAATATTTATAAAATAGATATACCTAAACTAAATAAGCCAGTAAAAGTACATGTATTTTTCGGTCAACTTTGCACTACGATACAAATTTTTATAAGGTTTAGTCTCACTTACTGAGTATAAAATCAGAAAATGCTGACAGATTCCGGCGGAGCTTCACTGCTTCAGGCGCCATCTTGAAAAAATGTTTTTGGTTAAGTTACTGAAACCATTTTTGTAGAAAATAAAATTTTGAATCTTTTGTTTCCTATAATTTTTTATTGTAAAATTTACCGTTTACGATTTATGACCCTTTACATGAATCGGTTTTTCTATCTCGGCCGATAACTCTTGAAGTATTGATTTAATCAATAAAATGCATCTGTCAATTTTTAAAGATCTAATTTTAATTAAAGGATTAGATAACCATCTATACATATAATAAAATTGTAGCTAAGCCGCATCTGTACATTAAATATTTTTTAAGAAAATCTTTTTGAAATAGACCATATTATTACCGATACAGAAGCCGAATCTATAGTTTTTAGAATTTTTGTCTGTCTGGAAGAATTTGGATGAAATTTGGTATGATGATAGCTTATTATCCAGGTCAACGTATAGGATACCTTTTACTACAGGAAAATATCTCATTTCTGTGAAATCTATACTAAACGTTAAAACGTAACGAACGCGAAAACGAACCCGAGCAGAGCGAGGGTGAGTCGCTAGTTAAGGTTCCGTACGTCAAAAGGTAAAAAAAGGAACTCTTATATGATCACTCTCTTGTCTTGTCTGTCTGCGTGTCACCACCAAGAAATCGGTGGTGGTTGTATATGAATAGTTATGATATTAAATTATTTGGGCCCATATTTATCATACAAGAATACTAAAATCGCGATCAAAAAATGGGGGGTGAAAAATACTTTACGACCTGTTGTCAAATGTAACAAATATACAAAAAAAAATCAATAAAAAGAAGAAAGGAAATAAACAAATAATTTTAAATAGAATTTTAAGGTTCATTTATTTCTTACTGGAAAATAATTTCATAAAAGAGCTAATAGTAGTTTATTAAATAATATATATTCTATTTTCTCTTTAATTAAACAGAAAAGTATTTCTAAGAATTGCATCATCTTGACAAATATAATACGACTTGACTTTTGTTCCGTTCCACACAGAATCTTTCAAAATTAAATTTCAAATCTGTATGGCTTACTTACTATTTTATGGGCGTAAAATTTTTGAAACTATATTTAATTATTATTAACAGATATTTCAAAATTAGTTGGAAATATAATGTTAAATTATATTGTATTTTATTTAAATTCTTCCTTCTTTTTGTGGTAAATAGTAAGCGTAATATGAATTTATTTCAAGCAACATCATATTGGACAACTTGGCTTGTTTTATAGATGTACGCATTCATAGTTCTCTCTCTTTTAATTATAGCTTGATGTATATCTTGCATCTCATTCTAAGAATTTATAAAATTTTACCCTATTCTCCAGAATCCAGCTATTTCATCATTCGAGATTTGAATCTCGAGTAAAGTGTTAAGCGGTGTTTTTAAAATATTTTGATAGAGTTTTTTGCTTAAATATTATGTTTTGAATGCAGTTTGTGTTTCAATTTGAAAGTACTTATTAGAAAGCCTGTACAAAGTGGCATTTTCATTATTTTTGTTATAGTCAATTTTGGTCTTAAAACTGAAAAGTTTTTAAGACCGTCGATTGGTAAATTATTTGTTATTGAATTTAACCAAAACATTGCAAAATAAACCATAGAAGTAGTAATTGATAGGTGAAGTGACTAACATGAGCTGCGCATATATCGAACTTAAAAATATTAAATATAATAACAATTGGCTGAATACCAATACAAAATATAAGCAGTTGCAAACACATAATATTTTGCATCACTTGAACCATTTATATATGAGAAAGGACAAGACAAAGAAGATCAAGATAAACCCTAGGCTAACAGTTAAGATGTAAGTACAAGCTGTAATTCTTTAAATTTAATTTATTATTACCTACATAAAATGTTTTAAAATAAACTGTCATAAATATACTTTTCTTAGTAGTTAGTAGGTATAAATAAACTTACGCATTTGAAAAACGTGAAACCCATACTTCATTGTTTTTATTAACTGAGTTTTTTTGTACTCGATCTCGTAGTTTAGATTCGAAATCCGCTAGCGCTTCCTTCGTGACACCGCGGCAAGTAGGTTTTTATTTTTTAATTTTCTCTTTCTGGTTAAAACGACTTACTAAAACCGTAGCGTTTTACTTTCCATACTATAAACAGCACATCGCGGGCCTCCGTCATATAACGCAAATAAACCATTAGTAGCTATTACACGAAAACCAGAACTTGCCAATAAAGAAATTTATATTTTAAAAAGGTTATTCTAACGCGATACTTCTAAGATCTAACCGTTTTGAGTCATTCTATAATCAATTTCTAACAGAGTCGAATCGGCACATTAAATATTTTTTGGAATATCTTATTGAAATAGACTATTAATTATTATCGATGTAGAGGCCGAACGAAATGTATAGTTTTTAGAATTTTTGTGTCTGGGAACGCATCACGAGAAAACCACTGGACCGATTTTGATGAAATTTGGTATGATGGTAGCTGCCAGCTGGTTATCAGAGTCAACATATAGGATTCTTTTTACTGCAGGAAAATATCTCATCTCTGACAAATCTGTATTAAAAAAACGATTATAAAATCCCTAGTAACTAAGCGAAATCACATGATGATTTTTTACGTAGTTGTTAAATACGTTACTGTTACGTATTGTGTATAGAATATACATGCCAAAATACTTAATAGTTCTTGAAATTTAATAAATAGTCCTAGATTGCTTAAACTCTTTGGTTTCACAACTTAAACTGTGGTTCGACTACAGGACTCACTCTCTAGGGCCAGCAGATCATGGTGGCAAAGTCAAAATGTCTAGAAATATACATAGTTTTAATCGTTGCAAATAATTCTTGAGGTAAAAACTCTTTCGTTTCTCACGGATCTGAAATCAGGAGTCAAGTTGTGCCTGGACTCAAATTGCGGGAAAAAGCACGATTTCCGCAGCGCAAAGGAAACAAAACAAAAGTTCATAATAAAATTTTCCTATATTATTTTTAGTTCTTCAGTCTTCTACTTATAACGTACTAATGTAATGTCGTAGTAGGTTTGTAAGTGCGTAACATGTTTTACATAACACTGTTTTTTAAACAGCTGATTCTATATATAGTATTATATTGTTATATTATCATTATTTTCATTCGTAATTTATAAAGTCAAAATCGTAGTATTTCGCATAAAGCCTTAAACTGTAACTCGAAGACGAGATATTATGTACCTAAGTAACTTAAAAATGCTTTTGTAAATTGGAGACACGCACGGAAGTGCAAAAACTGGTTTAACACTGCTTTCAAAATGGCGACCATGGGGGCCGCAAACTGTAGGTCTAATGGTGTAAATAAAAGTCTCACCCCAATAAAAAAAAAAGTCTAAAGTAGCCTTTGTAAAAAATCAATTTAAGTATGCATTAAAAATGCAATAAAAAATAAATTTCGACTTTCAGGCATTAAACAGTAAAAAATAATTAAACGGGGGTTTTCATTTAGAATAGATACCTAAGTTACCTATCAGATATTTTCGAATTCGGTGAGCTTTGATTTGTATCATACGATTTGTATCATTTCTAAATGAAAACCCCCATTTAGTTATTTTTTACTTTTTAGTGCTTGGAAGTCGGTTTTATTTTAAGTTTTTATTTTTCCATTTTTAGTTTAGACGTAACAAGCAGGTAATTTGTAAGAAGAAAGTTTCTTAATAACATATATTCGATTTAGTCATTTATTTAAAAATAATTTTATTGTTGATTTTTTAAAAACCGCTAAACCGATTTCGATAAAATTTCAATGGCACCACCTGGAAAGTATACCCTTTAAAATAAAAAAAGAATTTTCCAAATCGGTTCAGGCGTCTTCGAGTAATCGGTGAACATACATAAAAAAACATTTCCGACGAATTGAGAACCTCCTCCTTTTTGAAAGTCGGTTGAAAAGAAAGATGTTAGGTGTTGATTTATCTGAATAAAGTTACAATTCACAATGACTAAGTAAATTTGATGTCGTCACGCCTACTGAGGCCGCGATAGGTGATAACGTGTATGCACAGTATCCGCTTCCACCTCGTTTTTAGATTTGCGGCCAATGAATCCATTATTAAACTAAATTTATTTGTTATTTGTAAAATATATATTTACTATGTATAGGCTTTACGTATCATTGGAACGGTAAAAGAGAAAGTTTGGCAACACATAATTACTTGTGTTTTTTTTTAATCTAATTCCTATTAAAATTCACAATGTACGGCTTTTTCCATGAATTAATTTTGGTTTATTTACAACATAATATATGCCTTTCAGTTTTTATCTGTACATTATTATGTACGTATTGCTTGAAAGGGCAAGGCCACCTAGGAGTAATTTAACGACGATGGCGTTATCAAGTAATTACATAGTTCCATTATTTTGTTTGCTCTACTATTATATCTATACTATTATTATAAAGAGGTAAAGTTTGTGATCTTGTGAGTTTGTGGGTTTGTGAGTTTGTGACGTTGTAGGGGGTAATCTCTGGATCTACTGAACCGATTTTCAAAATTCTTTTACCAATAGAAAGCCACGTTCTTTCTGAGTGTCATAGGCTATATATTAACCCGAAAAATGAAAAGGCTTTTTCGTGGTAGTCGGATTTGCAAAGTAAGTCGGAGAAAAAACGGTCGAACGAAAACGTTTCTTACGAACGCTGCTTTAACGATGAGAGATATATGATTATGATCTAGATAAAAGTTGTAGAGCTTAATAATGCCTACAAAAAGGTCAGCGACAGCATATGTCTAACTTTTATATTTAAGTCACAAAAAGTAGTTTTTTATATTAAAAAAATCATTTAAATCGGTAGGTCATGTTTATTGGTCATATTATCAACAATTATGAATTCTTATTAAAATAAGTAAATTTATCGTCTAAACTGTTTAAAACAAAAGACTTTTCCCTTTTACTGCATATAATTTGGACAAATGGTTAAAGAGATAATACAACATATTCGTAGGTATGGACGAACCCGAGCGAGCTGTTTGTCTGTTTTTCTGTTTGTACGGGTTAATCTCCGAATCTATTGGACCGATTTAAATGAAATTTTGCATGGGTGTACCTTATATCCCCGGGCAACATCTTAGATACTTTTTATCCCGGAAAATTAAATAGTTCCCGTGGGATAGTTAAAATACTATAAAAACTTATACAGCTTAGTACACAAAAACTACTAATTGGATTTTAATGAAACTTTACAATAATATAGTTCATACATGACAAAAACAAATCAGCTACTTTTCATCCCGAAAAATTAAAGAGTTTCCGTAGGATAATCAAAAACTACAGTAACTTAGTACACAAACACTACTGATTGGATTTTGATGAAACTTTACAATAATATATATAGTTCATACATTAGAGTAACAAATAGGTTACCTTTTATCCCGGAAAAATGTACTGTTCCCTTTGGGATAGATGTTTTTGTGTATTTGTAACGTATTATGTACACAACATAGACCCCAAAACAATAGTTATTAAAAAAAATGTCTGTCTGTTTGCCTGTATTTCTGTTTGTCTGTTTTTGCGTGAGCGTTTCACGCGAAAAGTAATGTACCGATTTCAACGAAATTTGGTGAAGTGATAACTTACTCTCGAGTAATAGTACTCGAGTCAACATTTAGGATCCCTTTTGTATGTATTATGTATATTTTCAGTACAATACCCTTTTTAACGTCCCAATGCTGGGCACGGGCCTCCCTTCAGTACGAGGGGGATCAGGCGATAGTCCACCATTTTGGCCAAGTGCAGGTTGACGGACATGCAGGTTTCCTCACGATGTTTTACTTCACCGTTAAGACAAGTGATAATTGTGTTAGAAATGATTCGCACATAAAAATATCAGAGGTGCGTGATCCGGGATTTAAACTTGCTTCACTCGGTTTCCCAAACGAGCCCGTTACCACTGGGATACAACTGCCTAGATACCTTTTACTTCAAGAAAATCTTTCTTTCCCACGGGAAAATACGATAACTGGTTTTATCGAGTCCTCCCTAGAAACTTTCCGCTGGCTAAGCCTTAAGACATACATACATCAAAACTAAACTAAAAAATTGTAGGTCTTGACAAGTCCTACAGAAAAGTTCTGAATTGTATATGTCTATCTCCTAAGTTACACTCGCAATCTTTATTCTTATCTATACGGATAATAAAACTATTTTAGTCAAATCGATGTGCGCGTTTCACGCAAAAAGTACTCAACCGATTCTAGCTAAATTTTGTATAGTGATAAAACTTAGTACTCGGGTCAACATTTAGGATACCTTTTACGGCAGGCAAATTATTCATTCCCACGGGAAAACACAATAACTGGTTCTATCGAATCGTCCGTAGAAATTTATATGGCTAACGTTGGCTCAACCTTAAGAGATAGATCAAAACATTGTGCAAGAAAATTGTAAGTCTTAAAAAAGTCTATAAAAAAGTTCTACATAGTATATGTCTATCTCCTAAGGTACACTCGCTATAACTATTTTCATTATTATATATTACTGTTTTATTATACGTTATTTATTCTATCTATACATAAACGTAATAAAACTGGTTAGATAAAAAATGCTAAAAACCGAGTCAGTTCTCTTCTTACATCCCGAAAGAAGAGAAATAGAACAAATCCAGTTTTTTTTTAAATTTTTTTTGTTTCTCTGTCTATTTGTACGGGCTAATCTCCGAAACTATTGAACCGATTTAAATGAAATTTTGCATGGTAGTACCTTTTATCCCCGGTCAACATCTAAGATAATTTTCATTCCAGAAAATTTAAGAGTTTCGGTGGGATAGTTAAATACTATAGTAACTTATACAGCTTAGTACACAACAACTTACGCACCTAATTTAGTAAAATTTGGCATACTGATACCTTATATTGCCGGTCAAACAACAGATTACTTTTCATCCCGGAAAAATGAACGGTTCCCGTGGGATAGATCTGTTTGTGCTTTTCTAGAGGTGAACCCGAGC